GGGGGGGGGGGGAAGGAGGGTGTGAGAACATGAAAGAAAAAAGTTCGTCGCGCGTCCTCGACTCGTAGTAAAGTAGCGGGCGGAAGCGCGGGGTACTGTCTCAGCGGCGATCTCGATCTCTCGCGCACGGGAACTTGTCGTAACTCGAGGAGCGTAAACTCGGCGTTTCAGACTCGGTAAACGACTGTAACTGGCACAATTCGCTGATTGCTGCATTTAGTGGCGGGGGAAGACGGACTAAATTCGAGATTACCGCCAGAACGCGCTGAACGAGCGCTTCTTGTTTACCGGAATCCGCGAGCCGCCACGCAACGGCACGAGACGAGATGTATATGTGCGCATGTGTACATAATTATTGCCTTCGTCACATTCTCGCGATTGACCGTGAAAGTATCGCAGAGACCGACGACGACGACGCGTTAATTACCGTCGACACCGAGATCCATCTCAGCGTCTCTTCTCTCTTCCCCGCATCGCGCGGTATATCTTTTATCTCTCTCGCGCGCGCGCGCGCGCGTCGGGACCGCTGTTTGCGCCGGGGTGTAGATAACAACAACGCATCATTTTATTAAAGCGCTCGATGGTCGCGCATAATCCAGCGGAAAATTACGCAATCTCCGGAAATTAGTCCCAATGCGTAATATCACTTTACACGCGACGACACGTCGTCTCTCAGTCGTCGTTCATCCACGATGCTTCGCACGGTCGGGAGGGTACGGTGAAAAAGAAAACGAAATGAGAGAGATGGAAACGTAAAGGCGTAAAAGGAAAATGAAATCGACCTCGCCGCGCGATCCCCCGGAAAAATGTTACGTATATATATCATCCACGAGGCCGCATGCGGTTTTTCAGTATGCAGCTACGGCTTGATGCTGGAGGAGGATAAGGAACCGAATTATCTTACCGCGGGGGTGGGAGAGTACGTGGTGTTTAATTGCGATCTTGACTTTCCACACGAGACGCCGATTCCGTATATCCTCCAATGGAATCGCGACGTAAGTATATATACGTATCGAATAAGCAGAGCCGTCATTCACGGGGAGAGAAATTTTGCTAGAACAGCAGATTGTTTGTTAATATAGCGACAGCAAAAAGAATTTGAACAGCGGGAAGATTTATTAAGAGTCTCAATCGCTATGTTGCCGGATATATGGACAGCAAGATAATTTGGTTACGTCAAGTAAATTGTATTGCCGTCGCAACGACGTTTTGCAGCAAAATTATTGTTTCCTTGCGACAAATTTCGCTTCCTGTCGCTATATTGACAAACAATTTGCTGTTCCAGCAAAACGTTGTTTTCTCCGGATTATTGCGTTATTCCACCAATAACGCACGCACAACAGCGCAAGAGCGAGTGCGCGAGGCGTAGCGTGAGATCCTCGGATTACTTGCGTTAGCGGTGGTGATTGATCGCTATTGAATTTATAAATTGTCTTATAATTGACTTTACGATTGAAGTAGAGCTTCGGTACGGAATTACAGATCACTTTAGAATTACTTGATAACGCGGCCCAAGTGGAACGTAGATGGATTAGTGAAACGAATGTCGTTGCGAAACGCGACGTAGTACGTAAAAGGTAGTATGTAAAATAACATCAACAGGCGCGTCGCGTGATTGAGGTAATATTTTCCGTGTGTGTCGATTTCGCCTTGGACCGGCCGCACGTAGTTGTGCAATTTATTATTAGACCGGTTAGACGCGCTTCCGCGCAATCAGGCACGCGATATTCAATGTGATATTAACTTCCGATGCGCCACATTGATCGGGAGATCGTGCGAAAAGGCGGGGGATACAAAATCGCCGTAATTTCTCTTTTCAATTCGACATTCGATTCCCCCTTCCTCTTCTACCGAAATATTATTAATTATATTCGATCTTGGGCGACAGAGGGAGAGAGGGTCGCGACGAAGCGTAACGAGCGCATGCTTCTTTCGTAAAGTCGCGAAAATCGAGGCCACGCGCAAAGCAATGCAATTCACTTGAACCATCGACGCAGTTAATAACAGACCGCACGTAACAACGGTAACCTGACAACGTGCGATGGGCTGATTGACGATTAAAGAGCGTTAAGGCAGGCTGCTACTCGTTTAATTTGCATACGAACGTATATATCTGCGCGATGTGCCCGTTGCCTTCCGGCGGAGGCGCGAAGGTAGGAAAAGCGCGTCAAGGTAGGACACGTTATTCGATTACTTGGCCTCGAATATATCCGATCCCGTCGTTCCACGTTGATCCGCCCGCATGTGGAGATTTCCACGTCTTCTCGATTTCACGCGGACACATAATACGCGGGAGAAACTGGCAGCATTGAGCGCCGCTAAAAAGCACGGCAACGCGCCGCCGATGATGTCATGGCGCCGATTAGCTGAGAAAAACTTCCCAAAGCGGCCCATATTGGCTCGATTGTTAACCCTCTCGCTGCGTACGCGGCGTATATACGTCGTCGTCGAAGAGTAGCCTCTCAGTTGCGTTAGTTGCGTTATACAGGGTGTCCCGATCCTCGCAAGCTTAATTTTACCTAAAGCCAGATAGAAGATGCACGGTGACGATTACGTTTCGTCACAATGTGATTGTCACACTGTAACTTCAATTTAACACCTTCTTAAAGGTTATTACGTGATTAATATGATGTGAGCACAAGGTATATACGAATGACGTAAAAATCCGCATGCACGTTCTTGATTTGTTAAGATATTTCTCCGACATCATGACACGAACGACACATGCGCATTTGTATGAATTTTTGAGATCATGTGACGTCAATATGTATGAACGCGTGCTGAACGCTGCGTGACGTCGACTTTACTATCTGGAGAGGTTCTCCGAGCAATTTGAGGGGAATTTTTCATCGTCGAAAATGTCGTGGGAGGTGATTATTTTCAGCGATTTTTCAATCTCCAACGCACGATATATCTTTGTAACTAAGGTGAAAAAATAAATTTCCATCGAAGTCCACATTTGAAATTAATCGAAGAGAATAAACATTTTGCTATCCATTTAATCGTTCGAAGTTTAATTTGCGAAAAGACTCGCTTCTTCAGCCGCTTATATCTCGGAAACTATTGATACCCGGACATTTTCGTGGAGGACAAATGAACTTTAAATTGCTTCGAGACTTCTCAATGAAATTAAAGTCGCGGAGTCGTCTGTGACACCCTGTACGTACGTCACGGGAAAAAGCTCGTCACTTGCGGACGCCGTGTATGGTTCAGTCAGATGCATTGCAGCGAAAGGGTGAAAAGAGGAAAAATTACACGATCCGGAAGATGCTTGACAATTTACGAATTTTAGAGAAAAAAAAGTGCGCAAAACGGCTGCGCAGCGTATGGTCGCCCGCGAGTTCGCTTTCGCGGATGTCACATTGGACGATCGCGCGACGGAAACGGATTGCACGTGGCCGCTGCATAAAATCAAGTGGAACTCAAGCCCATTGGTCCCTGATGCGTATGCAAAACAGGTGCTCTTTCCCTCTTCGTCTGTCCGTCGTCGGTAATTGGAGTACGGGACGCAAGGCTGCATTATATTTAGTCACGTTCAGTCTGCGACACGAGGGGTCCCAGCCAGTGGGTCACTGTTAATGCATTGTCATATGATTAGAAGCGATTAGCGCCATTCTCGCCCCTGTCGGCGGAGTATCCTTGTTTCGGGGATTTGGAATATTCGTTCGTTCGCCGACGGAGAGAACGCAAACGCGCGGAGTTAGTGACCGACACGACGGCCGATTCAATCCTACATTGGCACTCATGGATCAGATTGATCCGGGGAAAAAATTGAGATATTATAGTTGAATCATCAATATATAGCTGAATCATCAATTACTGCATATACGAAGTTGGGACTCTTTTCTTAACGCGCGCAAATTTTCCGTCTCTTTCTATGCAGAAGTCCCGAGTCTGCATTAACTTGATTTGGTTCCACATCGAGTTTTCATTAGATCTTCTTTCACGCTCCTTTGACCGCTACAAATGGGAAGTTAGTCCCGTTTTCTCCACTGGAAGACTTAATGTAGAATCAAGTAGATCTAATGTAGGACTAAAATTTCCACTTGGGATCGACGTACTAAATAATGTGATTGTGAAAGTTTTTTTTTATTTACTTACTTTTACTTACATATTCTTGTGTATATTGAAAACTGTAATATCTGTACAATGAATACGCACTTATAAATATAGAAAGAAAGGAAGAAATATTTAAGGGCGTGTCGAAAGATTTGCCAAATCTCACAAAGACTCGGTGTGCTAAACTAAGCAGCAACGAATGAGTGTGTCAAGGAAGGGTTAAGGAACGTATCGTGGGTGATACGAGGAATCCTTAGTCACCCGTTTCCCGTCGTACACCTGACGCACGCAGTTTCAAGCTTCGTTAGAACGTGTCCTCGCACGAACGTTACATTTGTTTCCTCTTTGAATTGCGTGAGTTGCGCGTTCTGCGAAAGGAAGGCCCAATTAACGGCCGTCTTGTTGCAACTGCATATCGGATTACGCGGTGTAATTTTCTCAATTTCGCCTACGATCGTACATAAAAAAAAAGAAGAGAAAATATCGGTCGTTCGGATAAGTTAGTGCTTACGTGGGAACGAGATGTTCTCGCGTAATTCATCTGATATGTGGATCTCGATGAGATATCAGACAGCAAACGCTTTCTAACGCATTCTGATTACTTAGAGCCGCACGGTGTTTTCGTGGTACGACGGGCGTGTGTCGCTGGAGGACGACTACAAGGGTCGCATACACTTGTTGGACAATATCGGCCATCGTGGATACGGCCAGGGTAGTATAAATCTCACGAATATTCGCGAGAGCGACCAGGGCTGGTACGAATGTAGGGTGATTTTCCCTAACAGAACGCCGAACTCCAGAAATAATGGCACGTGGTTCCACCTCGCCATTGATGGTAAGCCCGTCACTTACGATTCCATTGTACAGTTGTCCGCATGCGATGATAATATTAACGCTGATCATTTTCAAACAAATTCAACAGCCCCGAGAGAGGATGTTTTCTTTTTTTATTTTACTAATATAATTTGTCTCGTGTATTTATCTTCCGTGCGATGTAACTTTAACAGAAAGGTGCGCCCATAAGCATGTAGGTGCGACAGATACAACGTGATCTATCGATATTATTCAAGAAAGAGCGGAATACATAACATATGACATATAAGTACAATTTGTCGTGTATAATAACAATTGTGTGATATATTATGCAAGTGTCGCCGAGACTAACAAGAGCTGACTATTAAACTGTGTCTTGCACCCGATGTGCAAGCTAACCGTGAGAGCTTACAGCCGTGAAATTCGTGACCTAATTTTTTGGCAAGTAGAAAATTAGTCGAACTTAATCATTCATTTAAACACCTCCGACATTCTTGACCCTCTTAAGGCTGAAAAGGCGAGAAAAAAACGGCCCGTCTTGATTAAAGGGTCACTTCGCTTCTTCTTTGTTATTTGACACTCATTGCGCTCACTGAAAGTAGAGACGTTCGGATTAAATATTCAGATTAGAAGTCTTCCGGGTCACTTATACAAGTTTTAATCGATCCAGGTAATTGAGCTGGAATTTAACAAGCTATATTTAGTACAAAACTTAAACCTATATATATATATCAACTGTGCCAATTAGAGCAGATCTTACTTCATGAATCAGTACTCAACCGGACGGGATTCTCGTTTTTGTAGGTTAAATCCTATTATACGAGATAAGAATGAGTAAGTGAGTGAGAAAGTCGTCAGTACATACGGATGACACTTACTCATGTTTTCTCATATATAGAGAGCGTATATTTCTGTGCTCAAATAAATTCCAACCCAGTAAGCAAGAAATCGTTAATACAACGTTATTACAATATTTTGTTTAACATGTAATGTTTTAAAATACATAGTTTTTAATTCTATATACAACGTTATTGACAATATTTGACCGAAGTATGAAAAATAATGTTTCTACATCATAATTTTAATATTTAATAATATAATATTATGTCAAAATGTTGATCAAATCCACATAAAATCAATGTCTCAAAAGATTGATTTAATGCTTCTTGCTCACTGGGAAGTTACGGCGCAAGTTAAGCGTTAGACACAAGTTTCACAAGAAAATTTCCCCGCCGGGAAAATCTGTCAAACGATAGTTTCCACTAAATCCTGTTTATTACGGGCGCCCGCTTGTGATGGTGGTTTGACCCATTAACCGATACTAATGTATTTGTCTCATTAACGCGTATGCCCAATTAAAAAGAAGATGACTAATTATCTGTCTCGCGCCGTTAATCCCGCTGATATTGAGCAAGACGACCATTGAAACGAATGGAAAAATATATACCGTAACCCCGCTGCTGCTTACTAACCTGAACCTGGGCAGACTCGTTAAATCGTTCAACCTAGGTGTGTCGCCGTTTCCGACGACTGTTGCAGGTGATACTCTACTAGCGATACCACCTGTCAACAAAACTGCCATGGAGGGCGAAGCCGTCGATTTCGATTGCGTAGCTAAAGGCGAGCACACGGTAGTGACTTGGTTACGCGAGAAGACACCTATTCCGGATATACAGGCAAGGATTTGTTGCACGTAGCCAATCGGACACGTGTCGATTTAAGTGTCCGTTTGTAACCTGTTGTTGTTTAACGCGCGAGAAAAATGATCGAATTCGCTGTCGCGGTAGGATCTCAGAAGACGAGCGTCTATCGGTAGCGATGGGACGTTAACCATAAATTCAGCTGCCATGAGTGACCTCGGAGAATACACTTGCATGGTGACAGGAGAGAACGGAGACCAGCAGAGTGCCTCGGCCTTTCTAAATGTTCAATGTGAGCATTGGAGCTGCTTTGCCCTTTGTGACCGCGATGATTAACCCTCCGCGGCCTCGAGCCGGGATATCCCCGACAAGACCGTTTTACCGTAGTCTAATAGTAAAATATTTTTAAAAATATTAGTGTAAAAAACTTGATTTGCAAGAACTTCATTCGTTACTTGTTCTTAATTAATTGGGTGCACGTCGCTCTTTGCGAGACTCAATCAAATCAAGGGGAGATGCGGCTCAAAAGCGTAGCCAAGGGTTTAATTCGTTTTCTCTTAAGGAGATTGTAAGGTGAAATGAGTTCGATAAGAATTCGATAAAACTTGCACTACGTATACATTGAAATATTACCTAACTGCTTGTAAATAATTAAAAAACGAGATTAACCGTTCAAGAGCTAAGGTATTTGCAACTAAAAGTTGGCACCTTTTATGTCGATTGTGAAATAAAAATAAGTAGACACGTAATTTTGTTTGACAAATACTAAGTTTGAAATGAATGACTCCCTTGACGCGCCATTGAAAATACGATGCCGAGGTTTACAACCTCCTTAAGTCACCTTCTTTCCTACCTCACGATCGGTAATCGACTTCTCCGCTTCTCTGCCGTAGATAAGGCGAAAGTGATTTACGCGCCAAGGGAGGTCTATTTACCGTACGGCAAACCGGCCCTCCTGGACTGCCACTTCAGGGCGAATCCGCCGCTGACGAACCTACGTTGGGAGAAGGACGGATTTCTCTTCGATCCTTACAACGTGCAGGGGGTTTTCTACAGGAGAAACGGATCTCTCTACTTCAGCAAAGTGGACGAGACACACTCGGGAAGCTACAGTTGCACCCCTTACAACGAGCTGGGCACCGAAGGACCCAGCCCTTCGATCACCGTAGTGAGTAGCGCTCTCGCCATCGTCGCACGCGTGTTGAACGACACAAATGGTGTACATAGAAAGAGAGAGAGAGAGAGAGAGAAAGAAAAACAGAAAGCACGTCAGCATTGAGACCACTGACCAGTCGACGGCGACTGCTTAACCGCGCTTTTGTTCCCCAATTGTAAATCTTCCGAGTCATACGGCTCTCCAGAACAAAATAGAACGAACGTTTCCCCGACGAAGAACACACGCTAGTCTCTCAAAACAATACCGACACGAGATATTTCTCAAGTAAACACAGGTGTACGTGAATTGACAACAATTTTAGTCGGTGTATAAAGGTCACGTCCCTTACGAACGGTTCATTGAGTGAATTCATGCGACATTCATATTGATCGCATAGAAGGACGAAAGGAATGCGAAGAAATTTCCACAATTTACTTAAAGCAATATGTGCGATATGCGAAATCTAACGTGAAAATGTGGGAGAACTTTTGGTAAATTTGTCGCTACGTAAAAAAATTTACATTACTGTATGATGCAAATTTCATGATTAATTTTGATACAAGTAACAATATATTTCCTCGGTAAATGTAAATAAAACATGATAAAGCTTCCATCATCGATTGATCTCAGATCGTGACAGTCATGAAAGCCCGGGTAAAAATTAATCGGGACGTATCTCAAGTCTGCAGTAGTAGTCTAGATAGGCATGCCCTAAAATAGGGGTCCTCGAGAGGTCGTTGACGATCTAGTTGTGGTCTGGAAAGGCAAATCCTGCCATTGAATTTCGTGAATAGCCCCTGAATAGACGTGGGTGTTTCTAACAAGGTCTGTAGCTCATAGAGCGCGGTCAGGGTCTAGTTAGATAGATTCACAAAACTGGTCCTAAATTGTACGAGCGTTACATTTCTGTGTAGGGCCTGGAAAGAGAGACGGGGAGAAATTACGTAGGGCTTTTTCGACGCTCGCGTTTTAAATTTCCACCCGGGAATTTATTCGGGCCGTTACTCGATATCGCGAATTATTTACAGATAGTTCAAAGGCCGCCGGTATTCACGATAACACCGCAGCACTTGTACATGCGAAAACTGGGCGAGAGCCTGGAGATCCCGTGCGACGCCAGAGATGGCGACGACGCGCATCGACCGAGCATCGTGTGGTACAAAGTACGTCGTAGCGTCGATTAGCGATTTGTGGTACAGTTCGTGGCCATGTTATTCGACGCACTTTGATTTTTTAATAGAACACGAGTCACTAGGAGAAGAAGAGCTATTAATTTTACGTTCCAACTCGATTAGAATCATTTTCGGTGTCGATCAGCGCTGCGATCTTCTGAGGTATGAAATCACCCCACTCAAAACTTATGTTTGTCCCGTTATTATCAACGATGCAACACGGCTTCGTACTTGTTGAAGGTCGTTGTGACAACCAAGTGAAATGACGTCGTGAAAAGTACCTTTCACAGAATAATGTTCCATTGTTCTTGAACAAAGTTCGGTCGATAGATGAGCCGTATTATAAAGCTAGTCCTTTAGTCGATGAATTGTAAGGAATGAAGGTGCGTCTAATAATAATAAGGGCAGAGGGACTGTAGCTGATCGCGCGTTACGCGCTCGCGTATATAATAATAAAATTTGCCGGTGTTTCTCGGGAAAAGGACGGGTCGCCCCTGCCGCCCGAAAGGACCATCATGATCGGCGGCAATCTCACGATAGAGAGGATCCAGGAACACGATCGGGGGTTGTACCAATGCGCGGCCAGCAACGAGGCGGCGACGGTGGTCGCGGACGCCGAACTGATGGTGCTGAACGTCCCGCCGCGGGCGCCGTACAACCTCAGCGCCAACAGCAGCAAGAACGCCGTCACCCTGACTTGGATACCCGGATACGTGCGACCCAAGATGGAGTACTCAGTATGGTAACGCATCGTGCGCGCGATACCCTCGACGGTTTGTCGCGATAGATGCGAGAATTCAAGCAAGAGTTTGCTGTGACCGAAACGCGACGGAGATCTCTCGGTTGTCGATTAATGCGACGTGAAAGGATATACGCCAAATTTCCGCTTAGGTACAGACCCACGGACACGTCCGAGTGGAGGACCATGAAGATCCTCTCGAGGAAGATCACGGAGGCGACGGTGAATAATCTCCATCCGGGGCGAGAGTACGAATTCATGGTTCTGAGCCAAGACAAGCACGGCGACGGGATGTTCAGCAAGGCGTTGCGAATATTTACCCAGCCGAGTACGGTTAACGCGATCTCTCGATTGTCGCTCTCGCACGGTGGAAAATTCCTGTGTTGAATTTAACATATCTCGCGTGTCCCGAGGCGAGCTCGAATTTTTGCGTCTTTTTTTTTCTATTAATTGTATGTAACTTCGTACAAAATGAATACGTTGGGAAGTGACGCGAATGTTACGTCGAAAATCAACGCGAAATTAATAATCGTTAATCGACGCCGAGGTATAAAATACGTTATTTCGACACTCGCACGCGTTGAGTATCGACACAGTGCGAAATTGTTAGAGATGACATAAAAGCAATATGTTAAATTAACACATGGGTATATTGAAAATTTAATATAAAAACCTTAACGAGGACCGATTTTAACACAAATACAAAATGTTTTTTACTGTGCGGCTGCCACTGATCGAAAACGAACGCGATGAAATGAACTACAACAGCAGATCGCCATCTTTTCTAGCTTCCATCGATGAGAACTCGGCGTCGGAATACCGCAGCCCGCAGGGTGAGTAAAGCGGCTTCGCTTGATCGAGTACGTCGATCGAACTGCTCTTCGAGAGCGGGAGAAAGAAGAATGTACGAGTCCTGTTTCAGAAGAGATCGTGGGACCGCCGCTGAACGTGAGAGTCCAAGCAACGGTGGAGGGCTACTTGGTGACTTGGGAACCACCCGAGTACGGCAAGGGTCAGGTCAGGCTCTACACGGTGAGATGGTTCAGAGGACCGTCGGAACATTTGTACGGGAGAGCGGAAACGACGGACACTTATTATTTAGGTGAGGTGACAATCACTTTCGCGATCTCGCAGTGATCAATCACGTACTTACCCTCGCTGAGAAAAACGTCCGATCGTATCCGACGATCGGACAATCCAATTAGAAAAGTAACAAACGGATATATATCTCCGATCAAGTGCGATGTCCGGTCAAGTTATGCCTTTATCCGATGAAAATTACAACTGATACGCAACAGGTGACTGATTTTCCGATTAGATTTCGTCGAATAAAAGTATCCGTCACTTGGATCGAACGATAAGAATAACGCATTGACAATTTAAATCGATAATTCGACGATGTTGTTTCAGTGAAAACTCTGGAGGAGGAGAGCTATTATACTTTCGAGGTGGCCGCGATATCCCTCACTGACGACGTTGCGACGAGCGAGAGGGTCGGTTTGGAAGTGCCCGCGTATCGTCGCAATCGTGCGATCTCCATGGGGATCGTCGCCGGTATAGGTTTTCTAGCGGCAGCACTGGCCGCTGTGTGGTGGGCGAGGAAGCGATTCTGCCAGCCGACTAACGAGAAGTAACCGAGGAAGAGTATATCGGAAATATGTGTGCGTACTCAACTAGAGAGAGAGAGAGAGAGAGAAATAGAGAGGGAGAGAGAGAAGATAGCTAGTCGCACGAGCCATAATTGATTATAAATATTTATGTATCGCTCGTACGATTAGCAGCACGGATCATTCCAGTGATCAAGTTAATATCACATTTATAAAAAGAAAAACAGAAAAAGATCGGAAGATAGGCTTGTGGTATGAGGAAGTTTTGAGAGATGACGAAATGCATATTTTCGAAATTTCGAGCGTGAAGGAATAAGAAAAAAAAGAAAAAAAAAAGAGATATTTATCATGCAGAGAGAATAATGTCAGGGGTGCCGCGCAAAGTATAAGACGACGATGATGCGGCGGGATTAACGTATTAGGGACCGTGGGCTCTTGGCCTGCTCTACCCCATAAGCGATCTTATTTACCGAAATCTCTAATTTAAGTTACTACCGAGTGTTCTTGCATTGCTAATTATATCCCAGTAAGCTAGGAATCATTAACGCAACAATGATGTTATTACAATGATATTTCATAATATGTAACGTTTTCGAATATGTAGTTTTTAATGTTGCATACAACGTCATTGTTAACAATATTTGATCGAAACATGAAAAATAATGTTTCCGCGCTATGAGTTTAGCGTTATTTTAATATTTAAGAAATTCATATTATCAAGTGACAGTTTAAACACATTTGTAAGATATCACGTCAAAATGTGAACAAAATCCACATAAAATCAATGTTTCAAGAGATTGATTTGACGTTTCTTGCTTACCGGGATCGTACTCTATGTGTCGTTTAACGGCTTTATTATAGGTAATTGCACATTATGAATGGCTAGACCTCATATTACGCGAATTACAGGCTCGTCGACCGTCGAACGCGTCAAATATATCGAGAGGATCGTGCGTGTGCTTACAGATTACACGCGTCTCTTGTGTCTCATTTTCTATTGTAAATAAATTATACTGTACGCGTCGCTATGCACGAGCATCTTCTCTCATTCTTTACCAGTACTTGTATACTTGATTTTATTGGACCGCAACGCATTGTCACGTATACCTGTACATCGCGCATAGTTGCAATTAACAATAAAGAGAAGCGAGGAGGTACACATTTTTACGCATTTCTTTGTGCCGATCGTTCGTGAATGACGTTGCTCGCGCAAAAATATACGTTCCGATAAATGTAAACCCAAGCAGAACAAATGTCCAAGAGATATCTTAAAGACATCTATAAAAGGCGTTCTTTTTCTTTTTAGATATCTTTCAGACGTCTTTAAGAGATCTTTGAAAAATTTGTTCTACCTGGATATCTTCCGAAGATACGGCACACGTCTCGTCCATCCGTCGATAAGACGCTCCCCTCCGGAAGCACGTCGGCAGAATTCGCCGCCTCGTAGCGCGTTGAAGAGATGGCGTTACGCGGAGGACAGCGGCCAATGATAACAGCTTATCTCTGCCGATAACTCGAAGACAAGATCCGCTCTTATACAGAACAAATGTCTAAAAGATGTCTTGATAATACCTAAAAAGCGTTCTATTTTTTTTTTTTAGATATCTCCTGTATGTTTTTAAGAGGTCTTTCAAAAATTTGCTCTACCTGGGTAGTCTCACCATTACAGAATCTCAACTGAGCACCAAGTGTCTCTCATTTTACCGTAAATTTACGTATATATTACTCAAACATTTACGTGCAATCCCCGCAAATGTCACGGGTTAATTTCTGAAAATGTAGAGGATATTTTATCGCCTCCCACGCACAGGTCAATTGACAATTGACGGTGACGTCGCTCCGACATTGTTTACGCCACGTGTGACCCGCCGCACTTATCGCGATAACACCAAAGGCGTCTGAATTGTTTAGCTTATCACAAGAATCTGGTAATTATAGCCTATGGTTAATGCATGTCTATGTATCCACGCATGAGACGAGCATGACGAAATACAGGTAAGCTCTTATCGGAAATTGAAATGTAAGCGGACTGGACCGATACCCAGGGTTCCGTAGACGGAGAAGATAATGTTTCTGTACAAGTGGAACTTCCTCTCCTACATAAAGTATGATAACAGGACTCATTATTTATTGAACTGAGTTTGAAAACCACGTGCTTCGCAGAGTCCCGTTGCAACGTTATCTCTCCCGTTATGTTATCACCAAAGTCTGGATGGAGATAAATCTGTTCAATTACTACCGTATATAATTATCAGTGTATAGTAACAAAATTCTGGTAATTATAAATTATAATACATATAATATACAATATATAATATATAATTATAAATCTATAAACTATATTCGTAGATTCCTCTCGAGTGTTGTGAGATTCTTGTGTTCAGGCTTTGGACTGAAGCGAAAGTGCTCTATGGTTCTGAGTTACTTTTGATTTGTCGTATGTTAGTAATATGTGTGTTACATATTTGATGGTGTGAAATGAAGTTGAAAGTTTTTATTCTCTTTCTATAAATCTTAACAGAAGCGAATCTTCTCTTCTGTTTAGATGCTTTCAAAATTTTATTAAGATATTTTCAGTATTAGTTCTCGCTGTGCCAACATAGCTTTGCCCCCCTCCCTCCCTTTTATATATATATATATATATATATAACCCCCGTTGCGTTAGTATAATTTAGAATTTTTTCTCATAGCACGGTAAAACGGTCATGTGGAACATACGAAATACTTGACACACACACATAAAACACTGCGCTTGAAATATGAAACATATTTATATACATAAAATTTTGTTAATTAACATCTTATAACATTATATTTAATAATGAAAGCTCCTTACTGGCTCTTACTGAAGCCGATGGTAAAACGTAACAATTTATGATTATTGCATTTAAAAGAATATATATATTTTTTTTATATAGTTAGTACATAATGTGGAATACGTCGTCGCTGTTTTACATATTGGTAAAAATGCAGAGTTACGATGATATATGGTCATACGAACGCTTGACCATCGAGTGCTAATTGATGTAGCTAATATTATGGAAAACAGCTCGGTATCTCCAAAGCCTGATTACGATTTTTACAGATGATGATGTGCTCAACCGTTATTTCATTTCTTAAGTGAAATTACTTAATATTAATGGTACGGACACGCTGAGAAAGTTGTTACAAACTTACGCCTGGAAAATCTGTTAAATTTATGTAGATTATTTATAACTAAAACACCTCTCTCTCTCTCTCTCTCTTTCTCTCTCTCTCTCTCTCTCTCTCTCTCTCCTTTTCCCTCTCTCTAAGAACCTAACTCGCTAATGTATCGTGGAATGCAAACAAGGTGTCAATGTATTGACGAATTGTAGATATACACCACCACTATTTGCCTATAACTCAATTCGATTGATAATTATACGAGCGTTTTGAACACTTGTGAATTGCATTTATGAATCAGTTATGAATATCGAAGTATGAATTCGTACTAGTCTTACGCTATTGGATTATGCTATTTGAGAGAAACGAAAGTCACGAAGACACCTATTTCATCCATAAAATGCCGTTAGATTAAATGGTCTGATCGTTGCGACCTAATACTAATGCTTTATTATCCAATACTCACTTAAACGGTAAAAAATATTGGCAGATTCAATGTTGTTACGCTCAATGTAACATTATTCTTCTTTCTCCCCCTTTTTTTTGTTTTTTTTTTCTTTTGAGCTCACAATATCAGTAAACCGATAACTCCATGTGTTGCATTGTTTTCTATTTTAATAAACTCAGATAGATATGGTAAGACCGCGATATTATAATCTCGTGGTTTGTGCGTAATAATAAAAATTCCGGCGATTAGTTATATATTATTGCGTTCTGGTTAAAATATTACTTACAAAAAAGAAAAAAAAACGTACATGTGTGTACCTGAGGAGACGAACGAAAGAAACGGGAGCCGATTAAAAAGTTTACGTAGCCTGTCGAATTGGAAGACGACATTACCAAATTGAATTATGAGCAACTGATGAATTTCGGCGCGAAAATGTAAGTAGTAAGTAGGAAAAATCTTGAACGTGCGATGAACGCGAAATAAACCTCGCTGGATTACATAAAGCCTCATTGTAGGTGCTATAAATTTACTCACGTGTCATAGTCAAAGACTATATGTATGAATATATGATACATGTTAGCTTAGCGTTGACAACAATATATATTGCGGAGTTAAAAATCTAGCTGTAATTCGTTAAAAACTTGAGGTACTTTCCGTTCGAAAAAACACAATTCTCTCGAATAACAAGTACATAGATATCGGAAAGGATTTGCAAGGTAAGTTATACAGTATACTAATCCTTGTGAATCTGTGAACCCCTTAATATCATAACTAGATTCTCTTAATCTTTTTCTTCCTTTAACTTGTAAAACTTATCTCTCGTGAGAAGTAGTACACTTGCGTGAATATGTTACAATACAGAGATGTTAAACCCGTGTAACCCTATTCAGTAATAATGTAATTACTTCCATGAATTGGGATAAATAGCTAGTAACAAAGGTTACGTCTCTTGGTACCTCGTTTACAATAAATTACTATTCACCTAGTATCGATATTATTGGAACACACCATTAATAGTTGTCTTTATAGATTTTTTTTTCCTCCCCCTTTGCACCCGCGATAACTTTTCTTGTGAAAAAGACTTCGTCAAATCTATCGTCATTGTCAGCTGTTGTTTGTCTTACAGAGCCTCCACATGATAAATTAAAATAAAAATACAAAGCAAACATGTATTCTCCGTATGTATAGCTAATTTGTGAAAAATAAATATTTGCTCATGATTTATGATTACTGGTTAACCACGTAAGGCCTTCATAAAGCCCGTCTCCCGTTGTGGCACAAGATGGCTGAACGTACCAATTTCTATCTCGTATCCTAGTTAATCCCAGTTTTTCTTGTATTTCGTGTGGTTTCATTGCTAAAGGAAGGTACAAATAAAAAGTTTTATACTTGTAACATCTAAAAAAACGCCTGTAGCACGCATACCGCATATTATACAGTATTTGTGCTGTTAATTATATATGGAAAACATTACTTACCATCCGGAAGATCTTGTTTATTAGCAAAAATTAAAATTATAGCATCACGCATTTCTCTATCGTTTATAATTCGATGGAGTTCTTGGCGAGCTTCGTCGATTCTATCTCGATCTGCACAATCTACTACAAAAATAAGTCCTTGCGTCCCCGTATAGTAGTGACGCCATAACGGACGTATTTTATCTTGACCACCTACATCCTAAACAATAAGAATAAGATTGATTTATGTAAAACAGTATAAAGACCGATAATGTCAGAGTAACTTTGAAATCAGTATATTACTTGTTGTTAAGCGTAAGAGTAAAGACTTACCCATACATTAAATTTAACATTCTTATAGGTAACTGTTTCTACATTGAATCCTACAGTTGGTATAGTTGTTACAGACTGTCCTAGTTTAAGTTTATACAATATTGCTGGTATAATTTGATTAAGGAAACGATCCATAGTGAAAATGGTAATTGTATTATATACATGTACATTACATAATGTACAGCATGTATATATATATATATGTAACAAACTAAGAAACTCTCACAATTATATATTTAATTACATAAAATTTTTAGAAGATATAGTAGTGGAAAGAAGTTATGAAATAAAGGTCGGTAGAATAATCATAGTAGTAAGAAAAAAAACACACACACACAAAAAGAAGAGGAATACAAGATAATATAAAACATTTGTATATGTAAAATCACAAAGGATACTAGTTTTTCCTGCAGCATCCAGCCCTAACATGAGAATACGCATCTCCTTGTTGCCAAATATCTTTGACAACAACTTGCCCATTTTGCCAACTGTGTTCTAGGCACCCGGCACCTGCACTTTGCAAAACGCGAAGCATTAGTAAATTTCACATAGCATTAGTAAATTTTACATAGTATTAGTAAATTTCAGTTAGCCGAGCTCATTAATAATATTGTACTACTCTGTTGCGAATATTATATATCACACAGATGATATTTATCGTCAACACTGTCACACTATCTTTTCATCAATTATCAATGCCAACACGTACTATAATATCAACACGTACCACTACAAAATGTTCAATTTCAACAAGTTGCATATTTACGAACATGCATTATTTACTACACACACACACACACCGACATAACAGCGGTAAGGAGGGGGATACGCTTTGACAAAAAGTGTCTCTAACGGACCATCAGTTGGGAATCTTTAATCCTCTCTGTATTAAACATTCATTCGTCGATGCGTCTGTCCATCCGAACGGAACCCTCGAATCCCTCCCCACAGGCGCGCGAAGTCGAAGTTACGAACCGGCCCGTCGTGGGGAGGGGAAGGTTCGGGGCGAGAATTAACGTCGACTTCCGCGTGACGAGCCGCCCTTCACGAGGGAGGCCCCACGTTTAAATCCCACGCCTTATCTCCGTTATCTCGCGTCCGATCGTCGCGTCTCTCAGCCGGGCATCGATTGATTACCTCTCTCGCGTGTCTAACCTCCTCCGCTACGAATCTCTCATCGCGAACGACGATTGCCCGGTGGGTGCTCGCGAGCGAGCGGAACGCGATCTCGGTGACGCGACGGCGGATAAACACGGACGGAGAACAGCAGTCCAACTACCTCCCCTAACCTATCTACGTGCGTGAACATTATCGGCTGCCGCCGCCACCGCCGCACAGGGTGTAGCCCTCCTCGGTATAGCGCGCCGTATCGTGGGGCTCTGCCTGTCCCAACTGCACCTCCCGGCACTTCCTCCTACGTAAACCCTCCGTATTCGTCCGTGGCGAGTCTCCGAAATATCTCCGGATACGTGCGAATCGCGTCAAATACGTAAAGAACCCGTGCTTCGGGTTTTTCGAACGAAGGCGGAGCGTCGAGAGAAAGGGAGAGAAAGCGAATGGACAGAAACACGTCCGGCCAACGACACTCAAAAAATATAATACTAGGAGGCCTCGGGGGGAGAGGGGGAGAGTGGGTTCGCGAGTGCGGAAAGTGCAGTTGCCGGCGGGAACACGCAGTAGTCCCATGTGACGACGCGTGCCGGCGCGATCACGCGAAAGGCGGAAAAAGGCGTGTTCGCGTGTGGGCGACGTGCGTGTCTCGGAGTAGAGGAAACGAGCTTATTGGGCGAGAGACGCCGATGCGCGAACTCGGTCTGAAAATACGTCGTCGCGGCCGGATCGATGATGATCGCTCTTCGCCGTCTCTCTCTCGCTGACAGTCGGCGTTTGCGAGCGGTCGCCGGCTCCGAGCGAGCAAGCGACGTGAGAAGGTGAAGCAGCGGATCTATCCGCGGGGAGGGCAGGGAGCGCTGCGAACAACTCACCGAAAAACATCTATCGAGTAGAGCGTGCAGTACTTGGCTGTCGGCGACGCGGACTGCGCGGACACATCACAACACTGTACATAGTTCTCCGTCGTACCGGCGCCGTTCGGGCATCGTTCGCGCGCGCGATAACGCGTTATTTCATCGCCGTAGGCACAGTGGCATCGTGTCCCCTCGTAGTAAGTAACGACGTGGGGCGCGTACGCATGCAACACGACGACGACGAGCCTCTCTCTCTCTCTCTCTCTCGTGCCTCTCGCTCTCGTGCATCGCGCCCGAGCGCCATCCGCCGTCGACGCCTGCAACTAGCCGCGCCTGCTTTACCCGCCGCGCTCTCGGACTCGCAATGAATGACTCGAAACCAGTGTCGCCAACTTTCAGCCGTTTTCCAGCTGGATCCCAGGTCTTCTTCATTTCTTTCTTTACCTGGCTATCAGAAATTGGCTTTAGATATTTAAGCTCTTTGTTGGGATATATTTAGAAAGATGACGAGCAGCTAGATGACTACCGATTCGTTCATTGATTTTCTTTAACGGAGGATTCACACTGCGTCTTTGACATTCCGTTGAAAAATTTTTCATATGCGCATAATTAATTAAACACAATTTATTGGCGTTACATCGGTTCAATATCGGTTGTACATAATTAGATGTAATTATGTATAAGGCGTTATGTATGAAACTCGTCCATATGTAAAAATATAGAGTCGGGTAAAGTGATTTAAGTTTATGTGTAATCATATGAAATTATATTTTTTTTTACGCACACAGACATATTCTATACATAATTACATATGGAAAATTGTTTAATGGGATCTCTAATAGCACACTTCATTGGCATTACATCGGCTAATGTTGACCAATGTAACGCCAAGGTGTACCGCTAGAGATCTAACGTTGGTTGTTGACATTTAATCATACAGAAGGATTTGATCTTGGGAGATAAAATAGAAGATATCGCTATCCAGATCGCCTAAAAAAAGCATTCTGAAAACTCTTTCCTTTGCTCGCGCGCATGCTTCCACGTGGGACACGTTTTACGACTTTCAGCCGTTTTCTAGCTTATTTTTCACAGGCGTACGGCTGATTTTGAAATTTCGCGTTGGCGACACTGTTGGAAACGCGACGAGTGTGGGCATGCGCGCGCACACGAAACGAACAGATCCCTCGTGATAGCTCGGCGTTATCGAGAATGCGCTTTGGTTGTCGCGGGCGATTGGAAAAGATTAAAGAGTATCGGCAATTTTAAAGCAACTATCGCGCTTTTTACACGACACGTTTGACACGCGCGTTATCGCGGCATCTATCTTTGTGCCAACGACGGACGCTATCAGATGTTATCGGCTTTTTTTGCGGCGATCGAAGCGGTATACGAGAGGTCTGTTCTTCTTGAGCTGCACCTTGCGATGTTTCCCTTCCTTTCTCTCATCGAGAAGTTGCACAAGCAGCTGTCTAAGTTGCATTCCTGACAATTAGAGTGAGACAAGTATATAATTCAGAAGCGTCGGAGGGAGAAGAAACGAAGTCGCGGTATGGCCTTGATTTAAAAACAGAAAACTGACCTACGTTAAATGAGAGAAGCCAGTTTGCGATTGACGAGAGACATACGAGTACGATTATTCGTGATAAATGCTCTTGTCACGCGGAGAAAGCAGTGAAAGACGAAGCGGGTTGGTCGGAGAGCCGCGTCGGGTCTCAGGTACGCACGGAATCGATCGAAAACGCTAGTCGCGCTCGCGTTTCCGCCGCGAAGAAAAATCCCGCGAAAAACGGCCGTAGTCGCGCCCGTCATCGCCAATGAATGCGCGACATCGCGCCTGGATTCCTGGCCGTGCGGTCACCTCCGGCAGCACCGCGCAACTTCGTCGTAAAGGAACAGCACGACGACGACGGACGGGCGTCAAGGTCGCTCGCTTTCACCACGACCTATCCGCCTTCGTTCGTCGATACCGCCGTCGAAGGACAAAAGATTCCTCGTCTCTTATCTAGCATCCGAGAGATCCTCCGAGGCCTTCCTTCCACTCGATACGCCTTATCGGCGCGTCTTTTTACAGATAGAACTTGCTTTTTGGCCCCGATCGAAGGCGGCGTAGATAAGGACGTAACACGACGGCGCGGTATGCGACGCGCGCAGGTTATCTACCTTGAACAGACGAAGTACGCGAAAGAGATGACTTTTCCCGGCGGCGATACCGGCCGGCTGGATCTCGTAGGCGCGCCAGCGAGGCATTATGCCGGCGAGGAAAAGGAAAATTACACGTGCAAGAGGAGAGGCCGGCAGGGCGGGAGGGATCGATAAGAGAAATCGAATCGAGCGTACTACGTGGAATCGTGAAAGTGAAGGTACGCCGTTATTACCACCACCGCCGCCGCCGCCGCCGCAACTTTCTACACGGGCGATTTGGGCCCCGATGAATACCTGTTGCTCGTTGTTGGCCGACCGACCGATCGTTCCCTCCCGTCCTGCCGAGCCGACGGACCGAGCGTGACGTAGGCAACGTGTTGAGGAATTTACGAGGACACGACGATAAACACGACGCGATAGGGAAGGCCGACGACTGTCGTTTCGCATTCGCTCGGAAGTGTCAAGTATTCGACGTCGACGAGAATGGAGCGTCAGAGGAAGAAGCTGGCCGAGTATGGCCAGGAACATCTGCTTAGATTCTGGGAGGAGCTGACAGACGAGGACAGGCACGAGCTGGAGAATGATGTTGACGAATTGGATCTGCAGGAGGCTACTTTGTACTTCGAGAAAGCGCTGGAGTCCTCCCGGCGCATCGGCCAAGGCACGCTGGACGACAAAGTACAGCCGATAGATGAGAAGAAGATCGCTTCCGCCAAGACGTCCACGAAGGAGGAGCTGGCGATGTACGAGGAACTTGGCCTGAAGGAAGTCGCTGAGAATCGCGTGGCTATTTTGCTGCTGTCAGGCGGGCAAGGCACGCGTCTAGGAGTGACTTATCCCAAGGGGATGTACAACGTCGACTTACCGTCGCGGAAAACCCTCTTTCAGCTGCAGGCAGAGAGGATACTGCGTCTGCAGGATATCGCGGAACAGCGGTGTGGAAAACGCGGGGAGATTACTTGGTATGCTGTCAAGGACTGTCGCCGGATAAATATAAGATAATTGTTGAATCCGGGAAATATATATATATATATATATGTATATACACACATATACATATGTATATATGATGTGTGGAATCTTGTACATTGCATCATACAATTACTGAGTAAAGGAGGGAGATGATCTTAAATATACTTTATTCTCCAGGTACATCCTTACCAGCGAAGCCACTCACGACGCCACCGTCGCCTATCTCAGCAAGCACAACAACTTCGGCTTAAAGGAGAACAACGTCAGGGCTTTCAAGCAGGGTATGCTACCGTGTTTCACTTTCGACGGCAAGATCATCTTGGACGCGAAGCATCGCGTTTCCAAAGCGCCCGACGGTAACGGGGGATTGTATCGCGCGTTGGAAAACCAAGGGATACTGGACGACATGACGCAGCGTGGAATTCGGAGTGTACACGCGCATTCCGTGGACAATATCTTGGTGAAAGTGGCGGATCCTGTATTTCTAGGCTATTGTCTGGTCTCCGAGACGGACTGTGGGGTTAAAGTAATCGAGAAATCTTCCCCTTCTGAAGCGGTCGGCGTAGTTTGCAAGGCAAGTATCCTAATATAATTCGTAACAAATGACATTTACGCGTGCGATATCTCCTACATATGTGTTGTAATCCACCATCTTTGTCCTTGGTTTGACACAGGTAGAGGACCATTATCAAGTAGTCGAGTACAGTGAGATCTCAAAGGAGACCTCGGAGCTGCGTCACCCCGACGGACAGCTGGTGTACAACGCCGCGAATATATGCAACCATTACTTCACGGTCGATTTCCTGAAGGACGTCGCGCACCTGCACGAGAAAGATCTGGATCTGCACGTAGCGAGGAAGAAAATCCCATACGTCAACGACGAGGGGGAGAGAATCGTTCCGAAGAGCCCGAACGGCATCAAGATAGAGAAATTCGTGTTCGACGTGTTCCGCTTCGCGAAGAATTTCGCGGTGTGGCAGGGCACTCGTGGGAAGGAATTCAGCCCGTTGAAGAACTCCGATTCCGCCGGGCAGGATTGCCCGAGCATCGCGCGCACCGATCTGCTGAATTTACACAAGAGGTGGCTGCTGGACGCGGGCGCGAAGAACGTCGGCGACGACGTCGAGATCTCGCCGTTACTCTCGTACGCGGGCGAGAATCTGGCTCGGATCGCGAATAACCAGTCTTTCGTGGGGCCACAAATTCTCGAATAACGACGACTGGACCGCCTCCCGATAACGAGATATCTCGGAATGCACGTATATCGAGGATGTTTACTCTCCTTTGTGATGAAGGTTAAACGTACGTAGGTTTAACGACCGTCGGTAGTAATCAACGACATATGTATATGCATATACATACATAGATTAGACATTCGTGTACTTTCACCATGGCAGTGGGGGAAACCGGAAATTAACAAGAGATATATATAGTTGATTCGTCTCTCTCGGCATGTATCTCTCGCGAATTTCCAATTTTGCATCCGCGAACGGAACGTGTGGCCTATATGTATGTCACGGTGAAAGCGATTAATTTGGTGATTCTGGAAAATTTCCGCCGGTTCAAACGATCAACGATATTCTGTGTATTGCATTTTATAGAGACGTGTGTGTGAGATTTTATAAAAACACCGAATTAATCATTTTCATTGTAACATCGTCCGTAATAGCGTCGTATAATTTTTATACTTGTACTTTTGAGACTTATACATATGAACTTTTGATAGCAACTGTTAAGCTGTAACCGTTAATACTCGCACTTGCAGTGATGGAAGTGGAACTTTAGTTATTGTATGGATCAGGTTAAACATGTAAATAAAAATTGTACACTATACACATGCACATTAACTGTGTGCATCAAGTATGATTTGGCTGTATTCGGCTATAAGTATTTCAAACGTACATAATTTTTTTTTTTATAAACTGTTACATATATATATATGTTAAATAAAACTGATGACCATATAACCTTCTAATTATATATGTGTATATATATATATATATATATATTGTAAGTTTAGAATATAATTGAATTTTTAAGTTTTATCAAATTCCGAAGGATTTTGTTGAGAATATTGAACATTGTTTATCCGTTTTTCTAACTTGAAAGGTAAAAAAGACCTTGTGTAAAAAGATCCAAGTTCACTTTGAATTTGATGTATGTTAAAAAGTATCGAAATATTGATGAAGTTGGATGAAATTCTTTGAGTACATTCGGTACTACACGATTGAGCACTTAGTGAACTCTAGCACCTGATTGGCGTATATTTTTAAATCTTGAGGAACATACCAATCGGATGCGCGAGTTCACTAAACACTTATGATGCGGTTGTAATGCAGAATGGAACCTATGGAGTGTGAATATTTCATGAAGTTGGCGTCAGTGCGCACGAGCAGATGTATTACGCCGCTTGATACACGCCAATGTCGGTTTGAAATGTTTGAATTTTGCAGGCCTAGTGTGTAACCATTGTTATTAAAAAGTACACCGTTGTATTTTTGTGCGTGAAACTTTTATTATCGTTTCAACATGTATATTAAATCGATGGTGTTAGAAGGATTCAAGTCGTACGGCAAAAGAATTGAAATAAACGGTTTTGATAAGGAATTCAATGCAATCACAGGATTTAACGGAAGCGGGAAATCGAACGTTTTAGATGCAATATGTTTTGTTCTGGGCATTACAAATCTTGGCCAGGTATACTTTACATATTGTCTGTTCTTTTAATAAACATGTTAACTTCTAACCTTACCGAACAATATGCCAACATAGCCTCACTCTGATGTAAACAATATTTGCTTCCGAATTATACTGGATTACGTTATGTGCTGATATTACAAAAGAATCGTCACATAAAGTTGTTAGTCTACAATTTACATATAACATTAAAGTTTATTAACATATTAAATGCTGTGCCAATTTCATATGACTATTCATTCAAGTTACCGTATTTATTATAATATATGTATAAGACTATAAAAGTCATTGTGAAAAGGAAAAGCACTATAAGATACACTTTATAATATTTATCATCACATAAAGTTGCTAGTCTAGGATTTATATATAACATTGGTAGCTTCTTATGACCCATACAGCACTCAGTGTGTTAAGATCCAAATTATTTATTACAATATATAACTTAATTGTTCTTCATATATAGGTTCGTGCTACTTCTTTACAAGATTTAGTCTATAAATCTGGCCAAGCAGGAATAAAAAAGGCTAGTGTTACAATAACATTTGATAATTGTGATACAGAATCATCTCCTATGGGTTATGAGCATCATGAGGAAATAGTAATTACAAGACAAGTAGTAATTGGTGGCAAGAATAAATATATGATTAATGGAACAAATGTACAGAACAAACGTGTACAGGATTTGTTTTGCTCCGTTCAATTGAATGTAAATAACCCACACTTTTTAATCATGCAAGGTAGAATAACGAAAGTGTTGAATATGAAACCAGTTGAGATTTTATCCATGTTGGAAGAAGCAGCAGGTACAAAAATGTATGAAAAGAAGAAGCAGTCTGCATTGCTCACTATAGAAAAAAAGGATAAGAAATTGAAAGAAATAAATTATGTATGTTGACATAATTTTAATATTCATATATTTCAGATATAGTATTTATTTATTATGTTTTTTTTAGATCTTGAGAGAAGAAATAGCTCCAAAATTAGAAAAATTGAAGGAAGAGAGAATACAGTATGTGGAATTCCAACGGATAGAGAGAGAGCTTGAACATAGCAAGAGAATTTATTTTGCATGGAAGTATGTTGCCGCCTTACATAACAGTGAGAAAGCAGAAGAAAATGTCAAGATTGTCCAAGATAACATAGAGTCAAAACTGAAGGCAATAACTGATGGCGAAAATGAAATCAAAAGCATAGAAGCAAAACATGCTGAAATATTAGAGAAAAGAGAATCTGTATGATATTTTGTTTCCTCGTATTTTCTATGAATTTCCTATAGTTTAATAACAATAATTACGCAATCTTCTCGATATTAACATCGAAGTTAATTCGAATAATTTTTTATCAAACACAAGGTATATAAGATAAATATTACTATTGTGTAAATTTTCAACAGGAAAAAGCCGATAAGTTGAAGACATTAGAGCACGAACTACAGGAATATGAGAAAAAGCAGATTCAATTATCAGCTGAAGTGAACAGTAATAAGGAGAACGTTAAAGCGGCAATTAAAACAATGGAGCAAACAAAGATCAACATAGAAGATGATAGGAAAGCATTTGCCTTAAAGGAAAAAGAATTGGAGAAAGTGGGAAGTCTTTTCCAGAAATTGAAAGATATGGATCAAAAGGACGCTGAAGCGGTATTAGAGGCACAAGAGAAATATCAGAAGATAAGTTCAGGCTTACTAGAGAGCGAGGATGGCGAAAATGCAACATTGGAGCAACAACTAATAAGCGCCAAGCAGTGTATGATACAGGCGCAAACTGAACTTAAACAATGCGAAATGACACTGAATCACAACAAGCAGCAGCTGAATAAGAAACAAAGAGACATGCATAGTACTGAAAATGAGTATAAGAAGCACATAATGGATCTAGAGAAGAAAGAAAAGGAATTGAAAAATTTGGGGAATGAACTGGAAAGATTGAATTATAAGGATAATCATACGGCAGATTTGAGGGAGCAAAGAAACACCTTGATTGCCGATATAAGATCATTGCGTGAGAGCATTGATCAGTTTGAAACGAGACATCCTCAGACGAGATTTGAGTATCAAAAGCCCGAACCCAATTTTAATGCAAATTCTGTGAAAGGCACTGTGTGCAAATTGTTTCACGTAAAGGATAAGAAAGCTGCCTATGCTTTAGAGGTTGCTGCAGGAGGGAAGGTAACGTCCACCTATACTTTTCTATGAGGTCTTTCTTTACTTCACGAGTGCACTTATGTTTTAGCTTTACAATGTAATCGTTGACGCGGAAACCACAAGCAAGAAAATTCTCCAACATGGGCAATTACAACATCGAGTTACATTTATCCCACTTAATCGAGTGAGCGGTAGACTTATGGATCGACAGACGATCGATTTGGCGGAAAAACTGGTCGGGAAAGAGAATGTTCAACCTGCCTTATCTCTTATAGATTTTCCAAATGAGATTATGCCGGCAATGACCTGGGTGTTTGGTCAAATATTTGTATGCAAAGACATGGAGAGTGCCAAGAAAATAGCGTTTCACGAGAGAATCATGAAGAAGTGTGTCACCTTGGAAGGTGATCTTTTTGATCCAGCTGGTACTTTATCCGGCGGTGCTCGAGCGAAAAGTGGATCCATTATATTAAAATTGGAAGAACTGAAAGAGACGCAGAATGAACTTAACAATAAAGAACATCTCCTGAGAAATGTGGATGCTGCCTTATCGAATGTTGAAAAGATTGCAGAGAAATATTCATTGTTAAAACAAAGATATGATTTACTGACTTATGAAATCGGCATTGTGCGACAAAGACTGGAACAAACCACTTATCACAAAATCAAGGAAGAGGTATACATAGATAATTTTGCATTAGATGCAATCATAATGCAAAAGAATCACGGTTTACACATACATATATGCGTTCATAATTACACATTTGTTTTCAGATGGATTCTTTGAGTGCAGCCATTGAAGAACTTACGCAACGGATGACCACAGCAAAGAGTTCAGAGAAAGAGAGCTTAAAACGCGCAAAAGATATAGAACTGAAATTAAAGGATGCGGTAAATATTCGGGAGAAACAATTAAAGGACGCTGAAAATCAATTAAATGCTTTAAAGAAAAAAGCGGAACAGAGTCACAAAGAATGGCAAAAGAGGGAACAGGAGGCGGAGACGCTTGAGTTAGAAATTAAAGAATTGAGAAAGACTATTGAAAGTGGTAATGAACAATTGCTTCAAGCAGAGAAAGAAAGCAATATGTTTAAGGAAAAAGGAAAGGTTCTTGAGGAAAAGTTGAAAGAAGTAAAGACTAAAGTTAATGAACTGCAGAATGACGTTAAGGAACAAAAGGATGCTATTACTAAACAGAACAAAAATTTGCAAAAGTTGGTGGCGAAGAAAGAAGATATTATTAAACAAAATAAAAACTTCGAATTGGACATTAAAAAATTAAACCATGAAATTAACGATATCAAAAAGAACGCGGAAAATTGTAGGCATAAGGTTTCCGAGTTTACAAAAAAATATCAATGGATTGAGGAAGAGAAAGCTTTCTTTGGACAGAAAGGTATTTAGAAAGAATGCTTTAATTTTGAAATAAAATTGATTTAGTATAAAAAATTAAAATATAAACAATGAATGATAACATTTTTGATCGGATGCTTATAAAGAAACCTGTCATATATTTATTTTTTTAGGAGGAATATATGATTTTGAAGTCAATAAACCAGATGAAGTGGAACCCAGAATACAACATTTGCAAGGAATACACGAAAAATTAAGTCGCAATATAAATGCAAGGTCAATCAACCTTCTTGATAAAGAGGAGGAGCAATATAACGATACGATGAAAAAGAAAAAGATAGTTGAAAACGATAAGATAAAAATTCTCGAGACCATTAAGCACTTAGATGAGAAGAAGAAAGACATTTTGGTTAAAGCGTGGGAACAGGTATAATTTGTCATTGCATAAATTTAGTTCATGTAAAGCCATACAACAAGCTCACATGTTTGTACGTGCAACATATGATTCTTGAGACACGGAATCATATCGATGTGAATTCACCATTTTTAAAATTCACAAATCTTTTTCTCCTCTTCCTTTTTTAGGTGAACAAAGACTTTGGCTCAATATTCGGGACGTTATTGCCAGGAGCCAACGCCAAGTTAGAACCGCCGTCGAATGAAACAATAATGGATGGTCTGGAAGTGAAAATTGGATTTTCGGGTATCTGGAAAGAGTCATTAGGAGAATTATCCGGCGGCCAAAGATCATTAGTTGCTTTGTCATTGGTCTTGGCTATGCTTCTTTATAAACCGGCTCCGTTATACATTCTGGATGAAGTGGACGCCGCTTTAGATCTTTCACACACGGAAAATATCGGTATAATGTTAAAACGACATTTTAAATGTTCGCAATTTATAGTTGTGTCCCTGAAGGATGGCATGTTCAACAACGCTAATGTCTTGTTTACAACTAGATTTATTGATGGTATGTCAACGATATGTAGAACTGAAAAAATACGATCTAAATAATTGTATCACATATATATATATATTTTCACGCGTGAATTAATATTTCACTTTTCTATCTGTCAACTTGCAACTACTTTATATAGTACCGAGATACATTTTCAGTTTATATAAATATGATTTTGACTATACAATAATAAACATTTAGGCAATTATTAACAATTAAGCCGAATTTGTTAATTGTCTACTGGTGTTAACATTACGTTTGAGAATTGACCATACTGGACCAATCGATTTCTGCGAAGAACGGATGACGCTTTATCTCGTTCATCGTCAATCGCTCGTCCGGATGATACTTCAGAATCTGTAACGAGATTATTGTTGTGATAATTTTGGAATTCGAATCGCTTCTCGGAGTTATGCATACAACGTAACTCACGCCATGTAACAAAGCTCTCGCATTTTCCGACAGTTTGCTAGGAATGCTAATTGCGGAATGTGAATGAAACAATCCAGGATGTCTAACAGCAAACATCTACGAAACAGAAGTTGAGCGTTATTGTTATTTATATTTATAATTAATGGCGCACGATTCCTCCTAATTCAATATATGTTCAATTTCACGTACAATGCCGGTAAGTAACTCGTACAAAATAACTCCAAAGCTCCAGATATCCGTGGCAGACGTGACAAGAATAGTCGGGGCAAACGTCGCCGATTCCGGGGACGAATATGGGTATGTCAGTTTTGACAATTCCACACTGTGCTGTGGTACGATATAAGTGAGCTGTACATGTCCCATATCGTTGATAAGAATATTATCAGGTTTAAAATCGAAAATAAAGACATCCTGTTGGTGAAGCACCTCCAGAGCTAAAAGAATTTCAGCTGCCCATGATCGAACTACAGCCTCAGGTACTTGCCAAAGTTCTTGCTGGTCGTCATCGGCATTATTTTCCTTATGCATATGCGGTTGTGTTTCATAAACGTTATAACTGTGATTTGACGTTAAATGGTTATTTACATTGACGGTACAATGAATGTTTAAAGCATTAGTCTCATCAGAAGTATTTCCGGTATCGTTATTTTTTTTTAAATTCGAATCTTTTAATCGATTTGAAGTAATGATTTTTGCACTCGGCGGTGATTTTGGATTTTCCGAGTATCTCAATTCCTTAGATCTGTTTAGTCGACTAGCGATGGAATTACTCCTTCTTAATGTCGCATTAACGGATTGTAGCAATTTTTGTGAATTTTCCAACAACTGTACCGTTGGTACCTCCATGTTATAGATTTTACTTTGTTCATCCATCGAGCACGAATGATCCATATCTCGTGATTTATCATTTCCTATAGTTTTATCTACTTTTTTTAGTTCGTGAGCATTTTTGTTACTATCAAGTTTGACATTGACATGATTGCTTGTATATGTATGATTTGAAATCAAATTGTTGGATGTTTTATAATGTAGATTTATGAAATCCCATAATTTTCCACAACTGTAATGCAAATTACATAAATGAACGAATTGCAAATATAATATCAGTATAATTATTGTTATATACCTTGCATGTTGCAGGATTAAAAATACAGTAGTTTCAGTTTCAACAAATGCATATAAGTCTACCATATATGGCACTCGTTCACGCAATATATAATTATTTATGTTATCCTCGTGAACAGAAGATTTCTCTATAGACTGAAAAATGACTACCTTATTATAAAAAATATGGTTGTTACACAACAAAGCCAATGCAATTTATTAATAAGTGACTTAATTTATAATTTGTTTAATATTATTATATAATTTATAGTAAAATCAGAGCTTGCATAATATGTATGTACGAGGGTTGATCCAGAAATAAGGTTCCCATCAATTTTACAAATAGACAACATTGTTTATTCTCATAGAAATTTACATCGTTGGAAAGATGAAACTTTGCTCTATTTTTCTACATAATCGCCATCTTTTTCTACGCATTTTTGTAGACGGTGCTCCAATTTCTATATCCCAATGTCGTAGAACTCCGCCGCCAATCCGTTTAGGAAGTGTTTCACCTCTTCTTTGACTTCATCGTCGCTCCGGAAGCGTTGGCCACCCAAGTGTTCCTTTAACTTGGGGAACAAGTGATAATCATTAGGCGCGAGGTCCGGACTGTAATCTGGTGGGTGGGGCATGACAGTCCACCCTAAATGTGTCAAAAGTTCCTGGGTTTGACGGGAGACGTGCGTTGTCGTGAAGCAGCGTTACACCGGCTGTCAGTCGTCCTCGCCGGCGGTTCTGGATAGCTCGCTTGAGTTTTCTCAGTGTTGCACGGAGCGACGATCAAGTCAAAGAAGAGGTGAAACGCTTCCTCAACGGGTTGGCGGCGGAGTTCTACGACATTGGGATACAGAAATTGGAGCATCGTCTACAAAAATGCGTAGAAAAAGATGGCGATTATGTAGAAAAATAGAGCAAAGTTTCATCTTTCCAACGATGTAAATTTCTATGAGAATAAACAATGTTGTCTATTTGTAAAATTGATGGGACCTTATTTCTGGATCAACCCTCGTATATAGTAATAGTCTCTTACTTTTATAATTCTGCTACAATTTTCACGTATGTCCGTTACAAGCATCACTGATTTCATGATCTTAAGTACTTTGTAGTACTGGAGCTCCGACACAGGTTTACTTATTAACGAGATATTACAATTTAAATGGCTATTATATAACTGCTCAGCCCGTGCTAAATACTTGGATATTTTATCTTTTATACTCGCTGCTCTTGTACTGTCTGGATCGAACTGCACACCGGTTATAAGAGACGATATTCCCAGTTTGTACTGTGTGAAAGCTTCCTTATACTCCGCTAGAGATTCGTGTTTGAAGGCTGCGCTCATGTGGCCGGCAGCTATTAAAATATATTGCGCGGAGTCCGCCTGCGTTGTGGAACACGTAGAATGAGCAGTGTTGCGATTTGTAAGATTTTTACTAATATTGTTATTCAGACAGTCAAATCCCGACTCGTTATTTAGTGTTAATTTGTTCCCGTCGGGACTGGTATTTCTTATACGTGCATCACAGTCTTGATTAGTGGTATCTTGCAGATACTGCTTCGTCGTGTTCTTTGTGTAGCTTTGTTCATCTTTTTTAATATTTGCATTTTGCAAATTGCTGGTACTGTGAGATTCGCTTCTTCTCCGAGACACTGCAAGGTCGTTTGCATGAAAATTCGACAGTGTGGAACACGGGTTCGTTAGAACATTATGGGATGTTTTAGAAAGACACGGCACTTGAAAAGTACTTTGTGCTGTTGCGGTGTCACCCGGGAGCACGGAATTATTCAAAGCAACGATACGATCATCCTCCGACGTGTCGGAGCTTATGGAATGTGTACAATCACCGTTGTAATTATCCACGTGACTAGTTTCAAAAAATGTTATAAAAATATCGCTGGAATATAAGTACGAATATCGTCCCACGAATTCCAGAAATTTAAGAGCATATTTCCTCCTCTCCTCCACAACCTCAGCCTCAAATCTGCCAAAATATCTCGATTTGGGTAAAGTCGGGAAGCCTTCTTTTATTCCTAGACGTTTGTGCAAATTGCTGAGCTCCGAATAAAGTTTCTTGAAGTCATTGTAACGTTTCCACACAGAGACCTTTGATATCTCTTCATGAGAAGAATTCAAGAACACCTGATTAAACACAAGATTTAACAAATTATTCGACCAATATCGTATACGATATAAGTAATAAAAATTCAGAAAGAGCAAGGCGCAATAATTTCCTGAAGCATACGTCGTACCATAGAAGTGACTTTGTAAATTGTGAAGCCTTTCTTATGTCTCGCCGTTTCAGGAATTATAAAACGTCTGATCCATTTGTCTTTTGCGGGTGCCATCGCTCGATCGATGAGATTTTTATTACTTCAACAATACTGAGATTCCTCGGCTGTCATAATTGTGTCAAGTGTGACTGTAAAACCATCTCTTTCTTCGCGTTGGTCTTCTCGTTTCATCGCACATGTTATGCGTATAGAACTGATATGCTGATTATATTGTTTATTAATATTCCTGAAGGGCATGAATCCTTTTATTTTGTTAACATTTTCAAGAGATCAGTAATATCACCTATGTGACGTCACGTAAAACTGCACTAGCTGTCACTAACTGTCACTAACTGTTACACGTTTTGCCACAGGGTGACAAGATGCGGATCTGACTGTGATTTTATTTGTCGTACGTCGAGTTTGTCAGATGTGTCGATTGACTATCGGATAGAAGATTTCTAGACATTTTATACGACAAATGAAATTCTTTGGACATAGCAGCGATAGTGCCACCTGTTTTTCACTAAACGAAAACTATTCAATATTGAAATCCCTGAAAGGAATATCCCTAATTGGCATGTCCTTGTTGCTTCATGTTGGTGAACCTGCTTCCTGTTAGTGTACGGTCCGCAGTTCCCTCTGTGTTTCTTTATCGTTCTTCCTTGGTGAGAGAAACGCGAACAAAGATGGTTAGTGGATGCACGTAATAATAATCCAAATTTATTTTAAACATCAATAATTAAAGTATTACGGTTACTTGACAAATACTCTGTGATTGTCATGGTTTGATGGATGAACTATTACTTTCTTACCCCATTTTTCTGACAAGAGAAATTATGTAGCATAACCTAATATGCATCGTGAAATACCGATAGCACGATAATTATTACATTATGTATTTGGATGGGAAATAAATTAAGAATTGTATTATGCGTAGCGATTATTTCTCGGCCAAATTTGAGAAATTAGTATCACGATTAAGTTCATAATAAGCTGTATGCGATACAATAATTTTGGATGATATACAATATGTACAGATGTACTTAACATGTGTATTTTTATTGTTTTAGGCAAAGGTGAAGTGTTCTGAATTAAGGACTAAGGATAAGAAGGAGCTGCTCAAGCAGCTCGAGCAGTTAAAAACAGAATTGACCACTTTGAGGGTGGCCAAAGTAACCGGAGGAGCAGCCTCTAAATTATCCAAGATGTAAGTTCTAAGTAAAACATCAATCAATATTGCATTTATTGTTGCGTTTTATTTCATGTGATGTTCATTAATTGGCAATTTTGATATCTATTGTGAGAATTTGAATATATTTCTAAGTATTCAAAGTTAAAATTAACTTATAATTTCAAACATTTTTTAATTATTTACAAAGTGTTATTTTTCAGATGTTATTCTACATATTGAGTATTTATAAACTATATACACATGACTTGCAACATTTTTACACAAAAATCACAAATATATGTGTATTCTTGAGTTTACTTGATTTTTCTTACAGCCGTGTCGTGAGGAAAGCCATCGCACGTGTATATATTATTATGCACCAGAAGCAGAAAGAGAACCTTCGCTTGTTTTATAAGAATAAGAAGTACAAGCCCCTTGATCTGAGGCCAAAGAAGACGAGAGCTCTGCGTCGTGTTCTTACCCCTTATCAGGCTAGCAGGAAAACACTGAAAGAGATACGCAAGCGTTCCGCATTCCCACAGAGGAAGTATGCGTTGAAAGTGTAATATGTACATCCTTAATTAATACGCAAAATAAAAATTTCATCAAATATCGAGTGATTAATTATTAAGAGAATAATATGATGCTCGCGATCTCAGGGGAGTTTCAAGCATCTAGGTATGATGGAAAAATTCAACCTGCGAAACTATTCAAGGCACTGTATATTTATAAAGTAATTTTCGAACACTTTTTTTTTCTTCCACGCCTCCATTTGCAAGAAATTGATACACAAGTTTAGAAAAGATTTAGAAGGTTTTTATGTACAGGCATTACGTTCTATTTGTATAAGCTAATATGTAGAATGTTACATAAATATGATTACTTTGTTATAACAAATGTTAAAACGGTTTTTATTATTCACGATTACACGGTGATGAGTTTTCCTGAACACCATGGACACGGATGGAAGTTGGGTTCGGTAATACATATATCTTTACAGTCTTTGATTTCTGTTAGAAGATCAAGGATCTGCGATGTCGTTTTATCTTCGATCAATTGTGGTTCTGCAGTCTCTTGCTCATCATCAATGTCATCATTAGGAATCACAGGATTGATAACATTTATGTCTGTGTGTGTATAACAGAGAATAACATATATAAATATATATTTAATTATACTTCTTTTTTTATACTACGTATAATAAGGAAAAACTATTTATTTAGAAATTGCACATGAGAAAATCTTCTTATCATATGTTAGATATAAATGTACTCACCTTTGTGTAATTGAATGCAAGATTCTGTAGGATGCTTTTTAAGCAAATCAGTAACTAATATTTTTAACTTATGTAATTGTTCCTGTTGCTGATTACATTGCTCCACTAACTGACGGAAGGTCTCCTCTCTCTCCTTCCATTTATTTCTTAGAACTTCTCGTTGTTTTTGATATAAAGTAATGTATTCTCCTGTACAAGTATATTTAAATGATTAGATATTCCAGTGTTTCATAGATTTCTAATTTAATTTACAAACGGTTTAAAAAGAAGTATATATATATATATATATATATATATATATATATATATATATATATATTTTGTTGCATATACAAAATAATAATAATTCATAGTAATCATATCAATGTAAAGCTAATTAAAATAATAACTCTAATTATATAATATAATAATACTTAAGAAAAGCTTAATTACTTTAGATTAGTCCGTAATTAAAAAAAATACAGCTTACCTATAGTTTCAGTTTCACCCTGAAGTTGGAGAACCAAATGTTCCAATCTTTGTTTTTCATCGGTTAATTCGGCGACTTTTTCCATTGCTTCTTTAAACTTATCTTCTAATTTTGTAATAGGCCCAGAATCATCCGAAGTATTTTTATTTTCTGGCAGTGATAAATTTTGCGTTGTTATAACGTCATCACCATTTTCCACCATTTTTGTCATATGTTGATCTCCATTAACATTTACTTTTGACAAGGCTGTCTCTTCCTGTTCTTCCTGTGCTTTCGTCTCTAATTTCTTTGTGAGTTCTTCACTTTCCTTTTTTAATTCTGCTATACGCATCTGTATAGTTTCTTCAGTTTCCTTTTTTAATTCTGCTATACGCATCTGTATGTTTTTGAGGTATAAATTACAATTATACAAAATTACCGTAATTAGTGGCAATTAGAATAATACACCAGGAATGATACCATCGCTAAATTTAAAAGTTATAAAAATTTATAAAAATGATCAAAACTTATTAAATTAATTATTAATTTATTTAAGAAAATTCACAAATTACCCAAGAGTTTCGTAGTTCTTGTTGTAATATCTTAGCATGATTAGACTGAGCTCGGTAAAGATACCGTTCTCTAGCTTCAGTATTTTTAAATCTTTCTTTTTCTAATTTCATTACACACTTTTCTTTCTCCTTTAACTTCTCTTTCAAATTATCCACTTCTGTCTCAACAGTATTTAATTTTGCATTTAATTTTCTGCCAATACTTCGTTCAGCTTGAAGTTGTTCTGTTAAATCTAACTTAGTGTTACTCTGGGAAAAATAATTATTATATATAGTTCTGTCAGAAAGTTAAAGAGACATAAGGTTTTTCTTAATAGCATATAATGGAAGGTAGAATTACCAATATTATATCAATCGATATATATCACACATAACAATGATAGATAATGACTTACAAGTGTAACAAAAGCATTCTCCATTTCGGTCAATTGTTGCTTCAACTGTTGGTTTTGTAGAACAGCCCTAGATGCACCAAGTTTCTCGCTTTCTAGAGCTTGCACCAATTTTGCCGCATCCGCTGCATCACCTTTCGCATCTCGTAGTTGTTGCACTTCTTTCGTTACCATTTCAATTTGTGAATCCTAAAAACGCAATGTTATCGATAAATGTTTCTTTCTATAAATTTTTCGGATGTCACTTGCAATGGCCAAATTTACCTTTTCAGATAACACAGCGTGAAGCTTTTCTTGTTGCGCAGTCAATCCCTCGATATTTTTCATCAAGCTATTTACATCATCATTACGCTCTCGCAATGGTAATAAAGCTTCATTCTTCTCTTTTTCATGTTGTAATTGTTGTTCCAAATCCGATAAACGTTGTACATAACTTTTCTCTCTATTTTCGAAATCATTGATCAACTTCCTCTCACTTTCAAGCTGTAATTATTCAACGTAAAATTCTCTGCAATTCTACACACATTCCCATGAATAAGATATAATAAATATTTATATACTTCATTAAGCAATTTTGCCTGTTGCGTATCCAATTGTCGAACATAATTCTGGTATTGTCTGTTGGTTTCATCCTTTTCATTATTCACTAACTTCAAAGTTTCTCTCATCTGAGTTAACTGTTGTTCCAAAACCGTTACAGCTTGATGCTGAGATTCTAGTGTTTGTGATGTATCAGTTAACTATAATTAAATTATTTGTATCAGTCGTAGAATACACAATATTATGAGATCTTTAATTATAGCCTTACGGGATTACCTGTTGTATTCTCAATTCGTTTAACGAAAGTAAAGCGGCCTTCTCTTGGAATTCCTGCTGCAAACTGATGAACTCAGTATTCTTTAAATTCAGCTTCTGCTTTAATTCTGATGTTTCTAATTCCATGTCTTCCTTTTCTTTTCTACAGGCAAATTTACCGTTTTGTAATATTAAACATTAATCAATCTTATTTTTATTGAGACGGAATAATTGCAACACTACGAACTTAATATTTAATGTGGAGTATACCTGAGTTCGTAATACTTCTTTTCAAGCTCGTCATAGATTTGCTGTATTTGCTGAGCATTTTTTTGAGTGTCATTGGAATTACTTTTCATTTGGACCAATTCCTTTTCGAGTTCGTTAGTACGAAGCTGGCTGTGTTTCAGTTTTCCATTCATCTCTTCTAGTTCCTCTAAACATTACAGAAACATTACAGAATTTAATTACAACAATGTCATGAGTGTGTCGAAATATCTATAGAATAAATTCTGTACATTCACAGTTACATCTCTTACGCGTGTATATATTAACCTGAATTTTGTTTTGCAGTCTTCTGACTTTGTGCCAGAGCTGCTGTGAGCTCCGCTTTCTCTGCTATTAAGATACCAGTGGTCTGGGCATGAACCTGCAATTGTTCTTTCAAAGGATTTATCTCGCGGATAAGCCTGGCTTCAAACTCGGAATCTTTTGTAGCTAGAATCTCTCCTAATTCGGCCACTTTGCTTTGCTGTTAATTTTAATTTTCAGATGCGTTAACATCAGTACAGAATTCAGTGTACAACAGAGTTGCGGTGAATCGAACTATACTCACATGACGACTGACTTGAATGTGTAAATCATTCACAAGCTGTTTCTGTTCCTCTATATAAGCATTTACAAACTGATAGCGACATTTCGCATCGAGATTGCCAGTTAACTCGCTATTATCTGTACCATCAGTTAATACATTAGCAACCTCTGAGGCCATTTCTAACAAATGTTCTTTCTGCACCGTTGAGGGTCCGTTAGACGGTGTAATGTTTAAATTATATTTCCCATTGTTTTCTGTAAACTGTACATCGGGCTGAAGACATAGATGTGTGGCATCTTTATCACTACTTTCATATGATATATTCTCTCCAGGGAAGTTTTCCAAAATCGAGTTCTCTGTTGTTTGACTGTTATTTGTTGCTGTTTTTCCAGTAATGTCTATTAAGTTATTAGTATCATTAAAAGCACTTTCTTCTGTATGTATAGCATTCACGTCATCCTTGTGTTTTTCAGAGTGTAAAAAGTTTTCTGTATTTTTTGCTTTATTCTGATTATATTGATTACAGGATTTATCCGTATCTATACTTTGGTAACTTGTTTGGCACTGTTAAAAAAATTGTTTTATTTGGGGTATTATTGATACATATCGCAATCTAAATCTTAATTACCATAGATTTGTTGTAGCAGATGTAAACTAATATTACACTAGCTATAAGCGCTAAACTTTTATTAAAAGATTTATATTATCTGTGTACAATTTTATAGAATTTCTTTATCTATATTATCAAATGATTACCTGTGATATAGTTTCACTAGCTACATCTGTATTTTGTGGTTTATTTGAGGCCTCTTGTGCTTGCAATTTTTTCTGAAGTTGGAATTCTTTTAGCTGCAATATAAATTACAAAAAGTTATAGTTTTATAAAAAAAAACCATTACTTGACAAACAAGAGTTTATCAAGCTGAGGACCAGAAAAGAAATAAATCAATGTATGTTACATTCTGATAACTCATGACACTTATGTATAAAGATTCTTAATGTATTACTATTTTTTACAACATTATTATATCACAATAGAATAGTTTGCAAAGGAGAAACAACACTGTCAATTTTGCATAGCACAAATATTATTACCAGAGGACATAATCAACATTTTTATTGCCACGTATTAGTTATTAAGTAATTCATATACTAATTAATGTTCATGTCTACGGCTATTTTGCAAGCTGTCAACGATGTCAAATTGTGTCATATTACCCTTTTCTTAGCAGCTAACAGTTTCTCCGTTTTACTTAGATTCATCGTGCGACAGTTTTCGTTGCACGGTACTCGTCAAGTATCACGTCGTATGCAAAATTTTAGAAACACTTTACATAGTCAAACAATGGAAAATATTGTAAGAATAAAGTCAAGTCGGCGGAGGTTATATCACGTCTACGTGTACCACATAATCGCACAACGTTTTCTATCTCTCTCTTTTTCAGTATGGTTTCAGGCGACCTCGTACGACGTTTCGCAAAGGTGCTGACAAGTGACGGATATTCGATCGATGAATCGATGTTTGATACTTTTTTTTACAAAAGGATCGATCGCCATCTCGATGTCTTCAAATAATGTTCGTCTAATCTGTTATTGAGTCGTACCACTTGAAAAGGTCAGTTTAACTTATCATTGAGTTATACTACGTCTACGATTTATTATTAAGGACATGGCGGAGATTTTAGAATTAATAAAAAAAAGTAATAGATGCATTATATAATAACTAGTGTAATCGAATTTAATTGGAATTGGACAATCGTAAAGCTCGTATCAGACTACGGATTGAGAAATGAGATTAAATTGAATTTGGCCAATCAGTACAAAGTTCACTAAATTTCACTAAATTTGAATTCAGTTAACTTTGCACTGATTGACCAAATTCAATTACAATCCCCAATCCATAGTCTGATACGAGCTTAACGTGATCAAATAGGACGCTTCTGTTTCAAAATATAGTTTCACAATCCTCCGCTACGAGTCGCTAACATTTTTACCGCCGAAGTAGTAGTTGATCTCAACGATAGATGAGACAAATTTTTCGTCCATCAAGTAGTATGACTCAACCAGAAATTAGGAAATTTTATCGAAGTGTTAAAACATTTTATTTATTTATATGCAAACACAAAAAAGTTTTCGGCCTCCAGAAATCTTTCAATTGACACGCTCGATCAATTTATCGAAATTAATGTGATATTAGTATAATTAATTGTGTGATAAGACGAAAATACGACGGTCTATCTAAGTGAATTTGATGATTCTAGTACGCGCTTATCAATTTGACACAAAGCAGTGTCGAACACGATTCTTAACAAGTGATTAATTAATGTCATTTCCTCTGTTATTTTATACAAGTGTGATTAGACATTAATTGTATCGAGTTTCTTTAACCATGAGTGCACAAAATCAGTTGCCCAATCTTGATAAAATTTTCCGAGATGACGATGAACCCGATTTTGTACCTTCGGGAGGGTATGTATTTATTTTATATACTATTGGATATAACTTTACAAAGAGTACACATTTATTAATTAAAGAGTAACAAGCTGATTCTTCTTCTAATTGCATTTTCTGCATTTTATGTCTTTCTTCTTTTACAAGTTTTAATATGTAACTGTCTTGTTTTAAATGCATGAAGTGTGTATAAAACAAATGTCATTTGTTATCCTTTTAATTTAATTGTTTAACGAATTCTCGTAGCTTGTTGCTATTTTTAATAAAACGAAATTGAATTGGTTCTTCGCTTGTTTTGGCAATTTCAATTTTGCATGATAAAAGTAAATTTATTATCGCTGGATATATTAAACTTTTGTATTTTCAGATCTAATTTGGCTGCTATCTTTGGACTACAACCAAAGGCTGCAGATTCTTACGTTACTAAGCAAACAGCTTCTAAGAAGAATAACACTCGATATAATATACAACAAACTGTACCACTACCTTCTAAGACAGAAGTTTTGATAGCTAAAGCTATACATGCCTACAAATTGTAATTATATTGAACTATTAATAGTATTATATTTATTCTTATCTAATTGATGCAGCAATATATATGAATAATTACAATTTCACTTACAATATTTGTTTTATATGTCGAAGCAAGTTATAGTAAATTTGACATTGCATTTCAGGCAAAAAGGTCAATATGTTTCTGTGGGAAAGCTCGGTATAGCGTTAACAGGCAATGTAACAACGAGAATATATGAGATAATTTTATATAAGAGCAAACAAGAATATATATCTGTTGCTACAGTAAAGCGTGACTTTGTGTATACTGTACAAGCGAATAATTACGCCAGTTATTACGACAATAACAAAGAGAATTGGTCGATCTTATTTGAAAATAACGAAAGTTACCTCGAGTTCGTGACAGAAGTAGGATTGTCGCGTTACTTTGCAGTGCAAGAGAAAGGAGAGGATGTGATTTACCAAGACTTGATGCTAAGTGATAAAAATGCAGTTGCGAAAGAAGGAGACAATATATGCATGAAATATTTCGTGACAACTGAGATAGTACAACCATTTAAGACAAACTTTGTAATATCGCAAACGATGACGGTCGAGATATCGACGGACAATAATTGGGAGAGAAGTCTTCTAGGTAGCACCAAGGGACTGAAGAGAGTTTTATTTTTACCTCCTAACAAACAGGTATTTCGGACAAATTTCTTTATAACACAATATGCAACGACGAGGTTGTTCATTGAGTAGTTTTACATAGATTAGCTTAGGTCCTGGATTTCCTAAAGAGAGAGATGTTATGCTGATGATAGAGATAACTGATATACGAGCGCCGGAAGATGATTCGTCGGTACCTAAGGTTTCGAGCAGCGGAAAAGCTTCCATAATTTCGAGAATGGCTAAGATGGGTCAGTCTATTTTACCAAAAATGCATCCCTCCACTACGGACTCGGAAGACACCGAGGTACTCTAGATTCATTACCGATGATAATCCCATAAGTCTGATAATTGAAGCTCGAAATATATTACCGTCTTAATCTAAGGAACGTTACATATTGTTTTGTAGGATGATGTACCTCAGAAGTCTCCTCGTCACAAGAAGGTTGGTTATACAGTTCATAGACTTATCGTGAGAGCGAATTCTCATTTTGTCAGGTTAACGCGTTATTTTGCCAGGTCGACCAAGCGGAAGTAATCTCGCAGAAGAAGAATCTGCCACACGAGCCGACGGAAGAAAAGAAAACCGCTCAAAGAGTAATGGAACCGAAAGCAGAAGTGCCTTCGATAGATTCTAGTAATTATAAGCCATTAGTTGCTGCACCTCCACTGACTTCGCCATGGGCACCATACCTTCCCGTATGTATCAACAGTTAAATACTCGATAAATTTCATATCGATGAACAATATAATGCAATAATTGATCTAAGAAGAAAGTTGATAAAATTACAGGGACATTATATCGCAATGGACAATCAGATGTATCCTGTGCCGCAGACTGTAAATCGTACAGTACCGGCCGCTCTAGATCCTGGGATAAACATGTTGCTATCGGAAAATCGAATAACAAACGCGGAAATACGAATGGGAATGTCCAAGATATCCGACAATGTTCAAAAACTGCTGGATAAGGTATACATGTAAATAAAGCGAGCATAATGTTATCCGTTATAAAAATATTACGTGTGTAGTTTCATGCACTTGAGCTTCAAAATGCAACAACACCTACGAGCGACAAAGCAACGTTGGATGCTTCTTGGAAAATGCTTTTAGCTCTCAGTGCATCTCGAGCAGGAGCAAATGACAATGAATTGCCAAAAGACACTGATAAAGATATAGCTGACGAAAAAATTCGAGAAATACAGAATAGAATGAGCGTTCTGGAAAATGATTTGAAAAAGTCCAAAGGTAAGATAATTACTGCAATTCGAGATACTGTTCAAATAGCAATAGTGTGTTATATTCTGTGATTTACGTATAAATTTAATAAATGTATCAATCTTTGTCATCAGAGGAAAAAGAGTTGTTATTGCAAGCTAATGAAAACTTGAACAAAAAGGTTCAAGAATTGGAGACAAGATTAGCCGATACATACGATGATTTGAAGAAAACCAAAGAAGACTTGGAAAAAGCTCAAGATATTATTAAACAGTATAAAGAAGAGAATGTTAATTTAGCAGATAAACTTTCCAAGTGTAACAAAGAGAACGTTCTTCAAGCTGATGCAGCATCTTCCAGGCAGATAGATGTAATGATCATATTTTTCTCTATTATTCATTCATTATTATTGTCACTAATACATTGATAAACCATGTTTATTTTACAGACCGAGAATAAAAACAAAGAAATTAAGCAAATAATGAACAAAACGTATCACACGTTATTAGAAAAACTTGCGGATGAATCGCATACTGATCTGTCTTTTGATTATGTGAAGTCCATTATTGCAAATACAATAAAGGTAAGAGAAACACGTATATACGATACGTGCAATATTATGCTAATATTCTGATCGAAATTTTGCGTTTAGTATATCACTTTGCAAGTACTCAATGAAGGGCCTGGCAAAGATGATAAAGAATCTGAAGCATGTAAGACTGTAAATCCCACAGTTTCTAAAACTGTCGGAGAACATTCTCAGAGAGCAGTATTAAACGCTGAGAGTAGCGACGATATCTCGGCAAAACCCGTGGAAACTTCAAGATCTACTAACGCGTCGACTTTTAAAGTAATATGTTACTTACACACATATATATTTTTGTAATCATGTTATGTGTAACTTTTTTCTGAAAGTATTATTCTTCATCCTAGATCATGCCTGTCTTTGAAAATGAACCGCCCCCCGTTCCACTTGGTGGCATCGATGAAATTGACAGTGACTGATCGATTGGTTCTGATACAAGTATAGATTTTTTTTAACTTGTCATATGTGTCTAATATATTGCATATTTCGTAATGTCGTGTTATATTCCTGACAAGTTTGCATACTGCAGTTCTTTGTGTATAAGTCAAATATTAATAAAAGATATTTTTATTATAAATTGTATATTTGTAGTTTTATATACGTTCTGTTACATTTATCTTAGTAATAATATATAGATAAGAATTATGGATCGTGGGATTAGAAAGACGGAAAAGAGAGATATGCGAGATATACTTCGAGAAATTGTTAAAAAAATACAATCTTTCATTGTACATGAATCTTATTTAAAGTAAAATACGTAATCATTTACATTATATTTGCTACATAAAATTATTTACTTAACCCTTAGCTGACACACGTCAAAATAATAACGTACGTGCTATAGGGGGTATTTTGGACCCCAGCGAGAAAAAATGTGTATAATTGTTTCACTTATCAATATTGGGTCAAGCCTCGACTAATACTAGGCCACAGAACCAAATTTGGCGCGCAACTATGAAAAATTTCAAAAACACTCTGGGGTACTTTTAACCCCGTGTGTCAGCTAAGGGTTAAATATAAATTATTTAGTTAAATAATACTTATTATTACTGTTTATTAATATATGACAAAGTAATCTCTGTTTTGATTTGTTTCACCTGAGCTACTAAATTTTTTATACTTTTTTCCCTGTAAAAGAAAGAAAACGGTGACAATTCGAAGTTCTACATTGACGTGTGAGTAATTGTATAATTCTACGTACATTTGACTAAGGTTTTCCTTTATCGCTTTCTCTTGACTACGTGTGAAAACAATTTCTTTCTTTTTCCCGTTGAATTCGTTGGCGTCTACAGATACAATTTGTTGAGCAGACTTTTTCTTGAGCTGTTCAAGTCGGATTTCCATGCTGTGCATTTTCATTTCCATCTTTTCCAATTCTTCCACTTCTGCTCGTTCGACAGCAGTCAGAAAAGGTTCTTTGTAATTTACCAATCGCAGAACTTCCTCTGCCCTAAAAATATAACAATTTATAAGCGTTTCCTGCAACGGCTTGATAAAACGTTGTGATGTTCATTCTTATTTTTTTTTTTCAATATCAGTTTCCTAAAGCCGCTTAAATATTGTTTAAGTAAATGATGAAATAATGCCACTAACCTACGTGCTAACTCCTTCTGTTTCTCCTTGATATCTTCATATCGTTCGGCTACGTGCTCCGTGGTACGTTGCAATTCTTTCTTTGTTTCCATTAAAACATCAAGTTCTTTCAAGAGATGGGTTTTCAAAACCTTCAAAGCATGCACCTTCTTGTTGATTTCTTCCCGGACTTTGTCGTGGCGAACGAAATGTTGGGTACGAAATATATTTGTGGCGTGATACAGAAGCTGAAACGTTAAAGAAATCACTGCAATTTCGATTGTTATAATTATGACCGAATTTCATTACAAACTTCCTATGCGACTAATAATTTCTATAACTAGTAATTAACTAATAATTTGTAAATACTGCAGTTGAATCATATGATATTGCATCACATGAATCACGTTTTACCTCTAGACACTCGCTTAAGGACATCGAGCGGGTTCCTATTTTCGTTATGGGTTGCGATATATCACGTCTTAGCAATCTTTTTATGTATGCGTCGAACGGTTCCTTGTTTACCTTAAAAGAAAGAACCAATTTCACCACAAAGAACATTATCATTCAGTGATTGATACTTTCGAGGTCATTGTTTCATTCTGAAAGAGAAAAAACTTCGTCCGTTGAAATTCTTTTCAAATAACTTTCTCGAAATATCTTTAAAGTGTAAGAACGAAAATGCACTCTCTCCTCTCACGTATTTCAGAATGAAGGCACTGATCCTTGAACAGAATGATATTGTAATATGATACAGCGATAAGTACTTTCTTTATGGTGTTGACGATAGGTTCGAGTTGCTTCGCTACTGGAAGATAATGCAAATCTATGACTGAGAAATCGACGACAACGCCTGTGTGCAGCAACGCGACCAAAACGCATGGTTCTTGGAGAAGACCGAAACCGAAGATCGGCGTGGCCTCGTCTATGCTCGTGTGCTTCGTTCTCGTGGAAAATAAATATTGCAAGGTCGATTGGTTCGACAAAGAAGGTAAGTGATGATCGTTTTTATCTAGAAAAGAGCGGAAGTTTAATCGAATAGGAAAAGAGATTTTCTCTATCCTCCTCCGGGGAGGATAAAGAAAACCTCGACCTTCGAGAGATATAGCAAGAAAATCCTACAATTTTGTTCCCTTTGTATACTCTTTTCGTTTTTATTTTTACTATCAACAAGAAATATAAAATTACGTGCGTGTAAAGAGAATTTTTACAAACTTATCACTTTACTGTAAATATTATAAAATGAAAAATATATTGCTTCTATATAATTTGTTTAGTTATGCAAATTTACTTGCCATTTGGTACGTTTATAAATTCCTCCAGTTGAGAAACCATCGGCAGACTCACCATGTGAATCCCGGCGTTATGAGAGCAGAAATATCTAATGGAAGTAAACGGTAATAAATAACTTGTGAATAATCGATCAATAATTGACACAAAAAATATAACACAAGGCGGAATTATCGCTGCCTTTGCCGAGAAAAGGTAAGGAGCTTCTCTCAAAGAAGCCACGAGCGAAAATTATCTCAAGAAGTAATATAAATGAAAAAAGTTATGATAGATCCGAGACATCCCGCATATACATCTTGCACACATTTCTTTTTAATTAGCACCTCGATTTGTTGCCCTTATCGCCATGAAGATAGACGGGACAATTGTATTTTTTATCATCGTCCGTGAAGAGGAGACCCAGCTCTAGTTCGACACATTCAAAGACGTAGAGCGCATCGTCCGGCGTGTGAAGGCTATAGTTTGAGCCATATTGCGACCAAGTCTGAAGAAAAGGATCGATCACGTGATAAAAAGAAGAGATATCAGTTGTAGAATTTATGTTTATAGCGGGATATGGTTTAATCCTTTCTTAAAACGTTAAAATTAACGCGTTGCTACGAAACTTGGTGTTACCATTGAGCGACAAGCAAAGACACAACGAAAAATTTGCGTGTTTTATACTTGACAGGAACACTTCATTACTATAGTAAAATTGATTCATTTCTATACTAGAATTAATGAGTGAGATATACAAAGTTATGTTACGCCGATATTTATCATATGCCATACCTTTCTGTCGTCGTCGTCGTCGTCCAGTATTTCGCGCAATAGTATCGCGTGATAAATCTTTCCGGTGCACATGGCGATGACCACTATCGGCGGGGTAGTTTGCAGGCACATGATAGAGCATGAATCTATCCCGTAATTATCGTCGCTCGGTGGATACATAGACAGCGAGCCTAGCACCACCGGATCCTCATAGCTGAAAGCACAATTAGAGCGCCATAGTCGAACGAGAAAGAAGATATTGCATCACTATTCGCTCGTCCCTGTCAAAAATGGTATAAATTTCTTTCGAGCTCATTAACATATAGATACAGGAGATGGTGTTCTCTTATCGCGGAAAATTATCCAATAATTACATCATATATAAATCTAATTTAAAAGACACTTCGCTCATACTTCTCCAACAAGATGTTCCCGTGAACGATCAGTATCTCGCCGTTTCCTCGAAGGATCAGGATCGGCCATTCGATGTGATTCCAATCGATGACGTTTTTCACCTAAAAATTGAGAACGTCTTGCGCCACACATTTCAACCTTGATTACCGACATCGGGATATCGAGGATATCTCGAAGATGATTCGACGTCTCGAACATTACGGAGAAAGAGCAAGAATCTTTCTCGGAAAACCAACTTAAATAAGAACATGACGTCAAATGACGTTTTAATGACGTCACTTGCTAGTTGGGAACTCGCGGATGCGAAAGCTCGCCGGTTCGTACCTCGTCGATGTTCTTGTCGGCGAACAGTTCCGCTTTCTTCAAGGTGGGAGTGACAAAATCGAAATCCACCGCGGTCTCGCCGAGGGAAGTGAAGTCCGGGATCTTCCGGGGCGAGCACGAGGGCGCGCGGCCGACTTTCCAGCATTTTACGAGTCTGGGTGCGCCGCCCAGCTCGCAATCGTACAAACTGCGGTGAAGTTAAATGCAGCTTAAGGTCAGCGGTCCGGCGACGTTTTTTTCAAGATACTTCGGCGCGCAAAGCCCGCGGAAGTTTCATTTAGTTCGCAAGCGTTTTTCTTACTTTTAAGCCCTGTCTAACGCGAAGACTTTAAAGACGCGCGCGAACTTAAGTTATGCGGCTCTTCGCGGGGGTTTCGCAAGTTTTCCATAATTATAATGACGAGGGATGCTGGGCTCTCGCGGCTGAAAGGACGAAATGCTTTTGTCTCGGGAGCGTCGACACACGCGCGCGCGTGTGCTCGATCGACGGTGCCGGTGCAAGGTGAGATGCGAAGTCTCGACGGTTCCTCACGAGTAATATAAAGTAAAAATATAAGGGGGAAAAAAAAAGTTTGCTTGTATCAACTAGAAAAGGAACAATCAGATGTATTTTGACTGAAGGAAACCGAATTTCTGGTTATAAGAACCACATTCGGGTCATAAGAACCAGAAATTCGATTTCCTTCAGTGCCAAAATGCATCTGGATGCTCCTTTTCTGGTTAGTATAACCAACATTTTTTTATATATATTCAATATATATTCAATGCATGTCAATGTATTCTATGTTGAAAGTTTGAATATTCGTATTTAAGAACCAAAACAACAGGAAAGTCCAGAGTTAAGATTAGATGCGTGTCCAGACATTGGTATCTTTATCTTACATGAGCGAGTCAGAAAATACGGATATCCCGGTTAATTGATAACGGTGGATCGAGTCGCGTGATTGCCTTGTAATTACCGGAAGGAGTTCTCGGATGTTAAGACCAATAAGTGCGAGTCGCTCGTCGAGCCCGGATGCCATCGGACGCGTTGAATTTCTGTGGTTGCCACGAAGTCGCCGAAGTTGTGACTTCTGAAAGCAGAAAGCGCAGGTAACGCGATACAACGTGCTCCGTTTATTGCAGCGATTTTGTCTTGATCGAGCGATTCGAAATTACAGCTCTCCTGCAACAAAGTCGCTATAGTGCCGATAATTAAATGGATGATCTAAACTGAAGAAAGTAACTCGCCAATCAGATCAAATGTTATCATGATGAGGAATTTTGGAGGAATAAACTCTACATCTGTATCAGTCTACACTGCGCGCACGTTCTCTCTTTCTCGCAATTAATTAAAAGATGAAAAATAATTAAAAAAACAAGCGTCGGGGCTGCAGTTTGTCACGCGTGATTACAACGAGAGGAACACGGTCGGGATACCACGAGTGTGAGACATCGATCCAAGTTGAATTCGCGCCTAAGCAAGGAGAGACGCGTTCGGCCGCGCGGATGAGCATTAATGGCTTTATAATCTAATGAATTTTTAGGTTAAGCGTCGGGAAGGATGAGCAGAAAATCCAGATAGGTTTTTCCCCGGGATTTATTGCCGAGAAAGAAAAGACGAGGGCACGGGGAGAGCGTTCGCCGCTTATCTCTCGCTTGGTCTGTGCCTTTCGACCGATGGGTGTAACCACCGAATCATCTCCAAATTTATTTCCACCGCGGCAATAATAATTATATATGACTCCGGAGAAACACGGCTCGGGCCGTGCGAGAGCTCTCTCAACTCAATTTATCCGGTTATTTCCCATTTTCTATCTTGGGACTTTTCACTACCCGAAAACATTTCCTCGCCGAGGTACCTGCTTGTTTTGTATCAGGTACGCCTCCGCATGCGTCCTCCGTGTGACATCATTTTTCAAGAGAGTAACATTTACGTTTGCGAACGTTCACTATCGTCAAGGCGCCGTTGCTGCTTCTGCGCTGCATCAGAGAGGACGATTCTCTGGGCTTTGCGAATTCCCGATATTTCTTCCGGGAACACTCCGCCTCGCTTGGTTAGTCCCAATGCGTAGAGTTCATAATCTTCCGCGCTCTACGTGGACGCTATTATTTCGTTCGCCCATTTACGGGAAAAATGACGAAATTCATCTCGGAATCTTAAATGAGAGGGTGGACGAGGCCATGACGGTAGCGGCGGTGACTTAAACGCAATAACAAGTAATACGCAGGGAAGTTCCTAGAATAAAATGATACGACACCGTGTAAGATCTACTTTGAAGTCAGGTCCGTGCCGTTCTTTGTACAAATTGCGAGAAAAGCGTGGCGCAAAAAGCCCCAGCCACCGCCACCGGGGTTAATACGTTTACGTAGGAAAATTATTTTTAATTTTTCTAGACGTGCCCCGGACACGAGAGAGAGAGAGAGAGAGAGCGGGGTGAGGTCGAGACACGAGGGTGTGGCAGAATGCGCGGCACTGCCGTGTAAGAATTTCTTAATTAGATTCGAGCAGCTGCGCGGCCTCTCATTCTTTTGTTTTCGGCGAGAAATTTCCGGTAAGTCGCGATGGCGGTACCTCGTGGACCAGGCCGCGCTCATCGCCAGGAGAATTCAAGCTTTATTAGATATTTTTATCGGCATCCCCGACTTGAGACAAGCTCTCTTCCTACAGGCCGTCCCGACTCGTCATCACGATCGGACGATAAACTATGCACTTGCTTTCTCGGTTTGGGGTAATTCCCGGCATTACGATCTATTCACACTTTGAGATTGTCAATGTAACCGTAACAGAAGATGAAGATCAAAGAAACGCCTGAAGCTGAGCAGCTGAGTCGAAAAATTGGCACTCCTACTCTGGTCGATTTATTTGCCAAAAACATGATTGGCGCCTCGAGAGATCCGGTCCGATGCGTTTTTATTTAAATCAAACATTCGCGCGATCTTCACGAATACGAATAGATCCTAGAGAGTAATATCTATCCTATTTAATACGACCGAGAGCAAAAACGAGTATTTATGACGCGCTCTCTTCGGATCTTTTTCGGCGGCGGTGTCGACGAATATCGAACACGCGACCGAGGGGGGTTGCGCGAGCGCGCCCTTAAATGCGTTGGTCCTGTTGCCATTCATTTTATTTAGGAATATTCAGCGCCATCGAACGAAAGCATCTCCGCGGGCAAGCCGAGGTAATCAAGGCAGCTTAATACCTATCAGAACACGCGCGTGTGCTCACGCGTGGAGCGCGTCGGGCGAGCGCGCGCGAAGGGGTAGGCATAAATTCTGATAATTCCGAAATTGTGACAGAACGAAGAAAAATTCCCGGGAGAGGTCGCGGTGAAAAGTGCGAATAAATCGTTGCGTATGCCTTTGTCAACGAAACGGCGAGTCAGGCGGACGCAGGAGGGTTGGAGCCGCGATGATGGGGTGAGAGAGCCACCACCGCCCGCGCGTCTGGCCCCTTTTTTTCGCTCCTGCCGCCCCCTCCCTCCTCCCGTGTGCCTCTCCACCTCTTCACTCTGCCATTCTCTCACCCTCTCTCTCTCTCTCTCTCTCTCTGCCGGTTTCCCGCCCTCCTGCCTCCCGTCCTTCCTCTTTACCGGTGCGTGCGTACATTTTTATCAATTATTAAGAACTCCTGGCGCTTGTGTGCCGGTGGTGGCCGTGTCGCCGTTCTGCGCGGGACGTATGTACAGGGTGTTGCGGGGGGAGGTGGGAGGGGGGGGGGAGGGTTAGAGAAGCGAGGGGCTGTATCCCGGAGACCGTAGCGTGGTGGTGATACCCGATGCCCGCTATCTTTTTCTCCCCGGGCGCGGGCCTTTTGCTCGCTTTTTCTGGCATGCCGCGGACATTAATAACGGCCACGGGCTAACCACCGCCGTCAACCAACCCCCTGCCAACGTTACCGTGTCCAGCCGCGGAAAGTGCGAGAGTAATAATAAAATATACGAAATGTAGGCGAGAGCACATCGTTGTGCACGCAGAGCGCGAGAGCAGCGGCAACGGCGGCGGCGGCGGCGGGGGCCGCCGCCGCGCCGAGGCCGACAAAACAAACGTCGCGACGTTACGGTGTACCTTTCATTGTCCGCGAAGGTACGCGGATCTCCTCGCGTTATAATAATTTAGAGCGACGCTGCGAGAGCCGGCGCGGGCCCTGATTTTAGCTTAATAGAACGCCGCCGCCCGCTTCGGCCGGCCGTGCCGCATTCGCGTGTTTCCGCCGAGATTGTCATTATTCTCCTCGCGCACCGGGGTATTTCGCCCTCGAGCTCGCGAAATTACGACGATTTGTAGCGGACGCGGAATACGCACTTAATTCGATCATTTGGAGGATGCCCAACGACGTCGTATCCACGGCGCGTGTCGCCTCGGATGATTTTCCGGGCGGTTTGCCCGCGTCGCTCGACCCCGCGGATCTGTGGCTTCCCGATGCGATGGTTTTTAGGTAAAGGACACTTTGTACTTGTGTTAAAACAAGCCCTGGTTAAGATTTTTGCGATAAATTTCCAGCATATTCGTGTATTAATTCAACATGTTGTGCTTATGCTATCTCAACATTTTGTGTCGATATTCAACATGCGCGAGTGTTAAAATAACATATTTTATACTTCAATGTTGATTAATGTATTAATTTTAGATATCATATTTGTGTGCTACTTTTCAACATACTTACCTCGTGTTAAATTAATACAAAAATTTGAATAGACCATTTGGGACACATGAAATATGTTAAATTTAACACATTTCGTATGATCCAAACGGCCTACTCCAATTGGTTTAACGCAAAGTGAATGTATTAAGAAGTAATACAAGTGGTACGTCAAAGATTAACACAATAAATGTGACACTTCGACACTATTTATAAGCAAATTTTATATAGAAATAACATTTATGTAAATTACATATTTATTTATTAATGTTAAATATAACTAAAAAATGTTATTTTTACATTTTTCGGTTCATACAAATATGCTACGCACATGAACTAATAATATTCTGCGTCTCACGATATGGTAGTTCTGGTGCTAAGTTAAACATGTAACATGTTGTCGTTGTTGCACGAGGCATAATTCTTATTATTTTACAAAACTACATCGTCTTTTACTATACATATACTTCACCTCATAACATGTGCAGCATAATCTGACGCGATAGTGTCGCGTTTGGCGGCAGACAAAGAATAGAAGACAATGACATCTCTATGTGATATTTAACATGCAAAATATGTTGATTTAATAGATGGCAAATGTTGTTTAAAAAAAAAAAAACTCTAAAACTACATAATCTTTATGTTAAACGTATACTTACATAAAAATTGTGTTATTTCACAACACAAAAAATATTAAATATCATATATCAATATTCAACACAAAATTTTTAACAAGGACTGGTTTTAACACAAGAACAAAATGTTTTTTACTGTGTAGTTCCTACCTTCTCTTTTGAAACAAGTCCTCGGTATTCTGTAAATTTTTTGGGAAAGAAGTCCCACTCAAAATGAATGGAAATTTACTCGAAACAGTAATGAAAATATTGAAACTAAGTATAACTTGGAATCACAAGATAGCATGTCCAATCCAAGCTTAAAGTGAATTCTTGATCTAATTGAGTAAATGTTTCAATCGATCAAAAAGAATTTGTGACCATAGAGTTATGTACGATTTTCTCCACGATTCAGGATGGAGAATTCATCCCATATGAGTGGCAAATCACTGTCATTCTGCTTTTCGAGTGAAATTTCGCTCGAAGAAATGTATTATTTATTTAGGAAATAGATTTTAGTTATATATCGTGCGTGTATTCATCGCGGATTGGCGCATCATTGAATTTTCCAAGAGGCCAACGGATAGATTCCCATCCTGTTCGTTTCAAGGGAGACAGTAGAAACTGGAGGGTAACCAAACGTCACCCTCCAACCAAAACGATCGCATCGGGAAATCGTGAGCTACCAAAGCCGAGCGAATCCTCCCCTCTTCGTGTAAACCCCAAGACGTAATTCGGTCGGACAATTTTTAACCCACTTGCGCCTCGTTTCGGCCGAAGTCTCTCCGCGGCTTTTAATCTCCGGCCGCGCGTGTTGCACGTCGACGTAACGGGC